TGTAGACATACATATAACCCGCAACCAAACTACAAGTATTGCAACCATTGCTTTCGAAATCCGTCCAGACTCTGGCATAAATACCCATGTGTCTATATTTTATGTATTCATGTTGATGCATGTACGCTCTAACAACATTCCAGACCAATATGGATGTTGTTTAAATGCTGACTGAGTGGTAGAGGGTGGAGGGGTGTTGTTACTGCAGACATTTATTCCTCTTTTTTCTTGTTTTGCTCTTGAAACAGTTAGCAGCCAGCCGGTACTATCAAAGATGTCGTCCGACCGTCATCCAAAACCAGATTGTAATAGTAACAAGTTTTTGGCAATCATGGTTGTTTGTGTATGTTTTCCAGGATTTACTCTGGTCTATGAAGAATTGTAACAATGAAAGCTAAAAAAACATAAATACAGTCGAAGTTCCGTAACTTGAACCTCAATTATCTCGAAAAAAAACTTCGACTTCTAGAGACTTCAGGTTATCAAAATTAATTATAATTTGTTCACCTAGTCCTATCAGTTCATTGACCGAATTCACTGACGTGACCGATTGAACTAAATGGAACTAAATGAAACGAACTAGGTCTCCTGCTGCAAATTAGTGTTATGTAGTTCCGGAACGATATAGTTCATCGTAACTATTTCGAACGATGAACGATAATGATTTTGTTGAACCATATATATATATATAAGAGGACCACCCATTCTCGGTGTCATTTTTTAATTAATTCGAATCTACACTAATTCAAGAATGTCCCTACAAAATTCCAAGTGAAAACCTCAAGAACTCTTGAAGATAAAGCCGATTTATTGTGTCAGCTTCAAGTGACGGCAAGAGTGATTCTCAAACTTTAAACGTATTTATCTCGAAACAGCGATAACTCAAAAACTAATAACCCAATCGATTTCAAAATTTGGGACGTTTCTCTGTGAATATTCTCTATCGTATAACTAGGATAAAGCCAATCGGTGAAGATCTTCCGTATTTTTTAACTTAGATTGTGGTCAACAATTTTGTTAATTGTTGTGCGAAATTAATAATCCTAGTTCATACGAGAGCCAGACATGTACTCTTTCTAACACCGTTGGAATTTTCGGATTACGATGTTCCAGTGAGGAGTTACAATGCCCGCCATCAAAAATAAGGACATTTTTTTGGTCACAAAACAAGTTTAACGGCACGTTCCGAATTTTGGTATTTTGGGTGGTATTTTCACAGAATTTTCTGTTATTTCATATTTTAGATTTTCGTTGGGTTTCAGGGTTGCGTTTCAGGTTCCAAGATACCTTTTTTATCAAGTAATCAACCAATTTTAAGGGTTTCGGGCATGTCGTAGCCCAATTTTCCAACCATTAGAATCTATAGTTTGGTACTTTGTTTTCACAGCGCAGCAATTTGATGTGGCATATCCTCCACATATAAATCCGATTGATTTTAAATACTTTTAATTCGACCGATCAGAACATAACGACGTTTCTACTTTGTGTTAAAGCAGAGCGTAAACAAATTTACCTATTTACACTTTTTTACGCATTTTTATTATTTCACAAATAACCAAATTTTCTGAAAGTTTCAGAAAAATGTTATTGGGCATTTACTTATTTTTTATGGTGATTTTTTAAAAACCCCAAATTACTGACAAACCCACTCTCTTATTAATTTAAAATTATCCTCCTTTAATATTTGTTTACAAACTATTAGTATATCCTATTTCAAATGAAATTACGTATACTATTATTACGATCATTTGCCATGTCTACGTCATATTTAAAGTCTCACCTGTCCCAATGCAACTCTGGTTAATGGGTATATGAGTGCTGTTGACAGATATGGGTCAATGTGTTTTAGTTGTGTGTTGGCAACACATGCACAATGTAGATCGATGTGACTTCTCAAATAATAACAAAATAATGAAATATTCCTCATTTCGTCATATTCCATTTTTGGCTTTAATTGTAATACTTCTCTCTTTGCACATTCCTCTCTCTCTCTTACACATGGAAAGAACACACAGTGTGGAAAATGCATGTACTAAATTTATCCATACAAAATTAATTCGATAACCTACTATGATTTTCCTTCAACAACAAAAGCTACAAAAATAAATACAGTTATTCTGTATAAAAAAATTAATTGCCAGGGAGTTGAATGATTTTTATCTACACAATGTCAAGGTCATTGCAAATGAAGAAGGAAGGACAGAAATAAAAACATAATAATAATAATGAAAACACACATTACGTTCTCAATAATGAATGGATGAACGAAACAAAGAAAAAAAAACACACAAACATGGATAACGAAAGGAAGTAAAGGGAAAAGAATAATATAAAATCTAATTACCTTTATCGTTCGTTCGTAACACACACACACGAGCAGCAATAAAACAGAGCATTGACGCCGGCAATGTAAACGAACGAACGAGCCAAACGACGAACACATTAGAATTCCAAGAAGGAAAAATCTTAATTTTATTATCTTGGCCAAGAGAAGACATAAACACATAGCTAGCTCTCCACAACCACTGCCGTCGTCATCATCATAATCAACATTGTGTCTGTCGGCGGGTCTGGTGAGTAAAAACGTGCTGTGTATTGACAAGGCCGGCCACATAGCCAGTCATTGAAGTGGGGAGTGAAAGTTTATTGTTTGTAAGAATAAGAAGAAAAAATAAACGGAAGAGACAAAACTTTTGAAGTACAAAAAATACAGCAACAAAAGCATAAAAACAAACCAAGAAACACGAATCTGCGGCACAAATGTTCTGCGGTTCCTTGTCAGAAGAACAAAACCACTTTTTGCCGCCTGCAGTGTTGCCGTTTGAAAAAATTTTTTTCCGCCCAAAATTGAACCTAAAAAGTGCCCAAAATCAACAATTTATGCCCAAAAATTCGAGATTGAAGAAGTATACTCTGATATTAAATATTAAAAGAGAGAGCATTTTTTCTCTACATTTTGTAAATGCCGAAAAGTTAAAAAAATAGCAAAAAATTGTTTTTATATAATAAAATATTTTGTTAATAAGAATTTGTACCACCAATATGACTTATTGTCACCTTGTCACGTCAAAATGTCCCACATCGAAAGATTAGTTTTAGAATCTATTTACAAATGTTCGGAGATCAGGAATATCTATGTTCGGAGATGAGGAATATCTAAGGCGAACAGATTTCGACAATGAAAGTAGATGGCATCAAGAAAAAATTAAATATATTTTAAAATATATCATGTTAAGAATAAAATTAAACATTTTAATTGGATTCAAAATGTACGTATTTTACAGAAAAAATATATATTGTTCTAATTAGGATGATAGATAGAGGACATCCAGTTTAAAGATGACATGCAGGTAAAATATATGATTGTCTTCCAAAAACTAGGACGTATGACCAACTTAGGAATATCGGACCAATCAGCATAAAGTCTCCACAAAATTGTTAAATTTTTGCTGGCAATTAATTTTATAAGGTAATTTTAACCAAGCCTGTATAATATTGGGAAATGAGAGTTATCACACCACTTATTGTAGTATCTCCCCAAGAAAGGGCCAATATTTGGAAATTTTGTAGATCTCATATGAAGCGAACGGAATATCCGGTTTCATCGAAGCTTTGCACATTGTAATATTTTTACAAAGCTACCTGGTACCTCACCCACAAAGAGACAACATTAAATCCGAATATGGAGTCCATACAACTTCTTCAGGTACCTCCCTATTATTTGATATTGCGACTTTAATATTTCTTTAAATAGGCAATTATCGGCTATATAGGTCCATCATCTGTTGTACTTCCCCCACAAACAGTCAAACCCACGCAAACCATAGGTCTACGGCAAATTGTAATTTGTATATGAATAACCTAAAATAAATGTATGGGGTTGAGAAGAATAGATCCACTTTCTGTTAAAACTTGATGGACATAAATAAGGATAATGATCTATTTTATATTTGATTGCGCGATATTTTTCGACAATAATTCCCACATATGAGTATATAGATCAATAATATTGTTATAAATTTAAAGGTCAGCCACTCCTCTTAATTGAACTGTCCGTCCCTGTTCCTTTTTCGGAAATAAATTTTGTCATTTTTCACACAAAAGTCTCCATATGATCCGCCAAATATTTTTTTATTTTCTAGGGTAAATAAATATCAATATTTATAAAAAAAAATATAAACAATATTGATATGACCGAAGCAAAAAATGCCCAACATCCGCCCAAGCCATAAATTTCACAAATTTTATGCCCACTTTTGGGCATAAATGCCCACATTCGGCAACACTGGCCGCCTGCCACCGGGGGGTGGTGGTGGTTGTCTCTCAACCCAGTTGTTATGGTTAATATTTAATTGAAGAGAGTGGCAACTATGAGATTACATTTCTCTGAGAAAGCAAGCGGGAGAGTTATTTTAACTTTTTGGCCATGTCATTCACTCACTCACCGAGGCAGAGAGATAACAAACTGAAGTTGAAAACCCCACTAAAATGAGAGTGTCCGCCGCCGAGTAGAGTGTTTGGCAACCAAAGGAATCACTGACAAATAACAAACACTTGGCGTTTACAGGACAACAACAAAAGACAGTTTCTCACTGGCACTCTTTGATTGCACACACATAACGTGGTGTATACCGACCGGGCAGATAAACAACACACCCGTTCATCTTTAATGCTATCATTGTTGCCGTCGTTGACGCCGCCACCGCCGCCGTTGTTGTCTTCGTCATAGAAACCTCTGATATTTTTGCTTTTGTGTGTGTTTTTTATGTTATTTTTCTCCATTTTCGTTTTATGCCCTGTTTCTATACGGTGCAAGTTTTTTTCCCAAGCATAATTTATTAACGAAAAACGTTAGCGTGAATAAAAGAAATAACACATAAAAAGTAAATGCAAATCTTTGGAAGAAAATATAATCGAAATGTGAATGTGTTATTGTTGTTTTTTTAGTGTTGTTGTTGTGTAAATGTCAAACGTGTTGTGTTCTAATGAATGAATAAATATTTCTCTATATCTATTTCTTCTTGCAGATTATTCAACATAAGTCAAAACGACGCGACGCGCGAAAATGGCCAAAATGGAAGTCGACGATGTCGTCGACTTGAGTTTAGGTTCTGGGCGAGACCCGGCCCTAACTATTACACCGGCAACGGTTAGAGATTTGAGAGCTCTAACACAAAATTCTGGATTGACCATAACACCAGCGCCACCACCACCAAGCAGTTCACCGTCTGCCACAAGTAATACACATGGCAGCAACAATAGCACAGGCACAAATCAAACGACTAGTAGCGCCGTTGGCTCAGGTGGTGCTGGAGGAGGAGGAAGTGGTGGCAGTGGTTCTAGTACACCTACAACAAATAACATATCAACAACCATAACAAGTGTTGATCCCTCATCTAACGCAAATAACAACAGCAGCAGCAACAACAACGCACCATCAACTACAACAAACTCCAATGCAACGTCAGCAACTGCAACTGCAGCTCCAACTCAACCACCAGCCGAAGAAAACAAAGTACAGAGACGTGTCTTACGACCTCGCACCGAACCCAAATCCTATGCTGAGGCTCCCGATATTGTACTCTTGCCCGCTCGCATGAACGGTGGCCGTCAACAGAACGGCAACATCGATTCGGAAACGGATGATGATGAAATGCCACCATATGTGCCCATCAAAGAACTAACACCCGCCGAATTGAAGGAACGTGAAAATGGTTTGCGTATCTTGCGCGATGATTTACGCAACGAAGAAACCAAATTGGTGTTGCTGAAGAAACTGAAACAATCACAACATGTCATGAAGGAGAATATAGTGGTGACACCGACAAGTGTATCACCATCAAATCCATTGGCTGCCATCCCAGCCGCCCTAACATCTAAGGGAGCATTAAGTGTAACGCCAACAACAGCTGTACCATTACCGGCACATGGTAAAAATTCACGTTCCAATAACAGTAATAATATTTCATCATCGGTTAGCATAAGGTGAGTTGATAGTGAACGATAAGAAAATAAACAAAAACAATGTGGAAGTTTGAATGAAAAAAAAAATTAGATTTTATAAGTGGGAGAATGAATATCCCGATTTATGGGTACTCCAACATTTATCAATACAATTCAAATTGATTACTAGGATTATTGAGTGCAATTATTTGACTCGTAGGCTATTCAAAATCAGTATTACAAATAATAACGCATTGACTGTACATAAAGCATAAGTGCACATTTAGAAAATCTAATAAAATCTAGTCAAAATATTATATTGTTATTCAGTGGATAAGCGTTGAATTACATATAGTCGATCTAGGAGTAACATAGTTTCCAAGTTTTTTTTAATGATACACAGTGTAGTATAAACTTTTAATTATTTCAACCTCTTAAAATGTGTATACCTACTATACATTTCGATTCTATGAGATGAAGTTAGTTAAAGTAAAATAATTAGAAATTAATGATTACAAACACCATTCAAACTTCTTCAACAACAACAACAATTTTGTATACACTTATTAAAATCTTCTTTATCTTTTTTGTAGTGCAACCAACAGCCGTTCGAATCTAAATTCTTCATCGTCAACATCTTCACCTCATCGGTCTAGCCACAGCAGCAGCAACCATAATATTGGTGGCAACAGCAATAGCCACATTAGCAACAACACTAGCAATAATAATAGCAGTAATAGTAATTCAATACTGCCACCACCACGTTCATCATTGCCCGGCGGTGCGACACTGACAGCCGGCGGATCTTCTTCCATCAGCATTCAAGCGGCAACGTCATCATCATCACGTTCATCGTCTAGTGTACTGCCGCCACGTACAAATTTACCGAATCTCACAATAACACCGTCGGTGACTATAACGCCAACATCGGCTCCACCATCAGGACTTAAATCACGCAATGTGAGTTGTTGTAATGTGATCGTTGCAGTAAGCGCTGTGTTTCATTCTATTGTCATACTAGCTGGCCTATAGCTGGGTCATTGTAGTCGTTCTGAAGTCGTAGTCTAATCCATAGGTTTCATAGGACTCTAAAAGGAAACTACACACCCACCCACTCACTCTCTCATTACACACACACAACGCTTACTTACAACATTTACACTTACAGTTTATTTTATTTTTTACTAACATTTTTGCAAATAATTATTACAACACTAACATTCTACAATGTGTATTTTTTTCAATATAGGTCTGAGTTACGGTTTATATATCTGTCATTCACAAATGTTTTGAATTCTGTTGATATTGTCATCAGGCTTTTGGGTTTTAAATTGTGCTGAAAAGCTTTTTCCATCTAGGGGATTGTAATTTTGTACAAGAAATTCTCAGTCGATAAGAAGCCTACAGACTGAATTGTTTTTAATGTCCGATGTTTGAGACACATCACCTTTCACATAAATTATGAAATTATATTGATGGGCGCCCTTCTTTCAAATCAGCTCTGGTCATCTTTTGGTCTAAGCACGCTCTGATTTTGTACAAGCAGTACAGGTTTTATATAGGGCGAGAACTTCTACGTCATTTCAGACTTGGTGTGAATGATAGCAGCAAAACAAGGCATGCTATATCTGTTAGTATAGTTTATACATGATTTGTCGTATTCAATTCCCTTAACTTATTGCGTCAGGCCCTGAAGATGTAAAGATTGAAAGGCGGTCCATATTAATTTAGGATAACAAATTGATTTGTAACAGTGTTGTGAAGGACTGAGGGTGTTGCGGTCCTTATAGATACTGAAATTCATTTCCCCACCCATTCTAAGAATACGTTTTAAATTACGGACTTGTCATTTGCATTTGAAGCAGGGAAATGAAAAGCATAGCATTCATCTCCTGTTCTACATTTTCCTGAAATAACATTTCAATAGCAAAATTCATTCAACATTTTTCCATACTAATAAAATCGAATAAATATTAACATTTGCAACTATATTTCACAACTCTAATAATATTTATAATTAAAAAATAATAATATCAACATTTGTTTACAAACATATCATCATTATCAATAATTTCATACAATAACTAACCACCTCTCTCCATTCATTTGTTGTTGTCGTTGTTGTATCTGTTCTGTGCATTATTGTTATCATTTATATTGAACTAACCATAAAAACCAAAATAAGCAGCAGCCTAATATTTCGGATAATTCTAAGGTACCTAATACGATCAACAACTCGGTATCTATAACACCAGCGCCACCGTTGTCGTCCACACAAAACCAACAACACAATGATCTAAAGGTAAGCTAATAATGGTTTATTAAATTTAACTATTTTCATTTATTTAATTAATTAACAATAATAATGTTATATAATTTTTTTAGAATGATCGTTTGAATTCCCGCGAAGATGTACAAACACCAGCTCAAAGGCAGGCGGCAGCCAAATTGGCTTTACGTAAACAATTGGAGAAGACTTTACTACAGGTAAGTGATGAATATGTTTATATGACAAGAGTTGTGTACTTACGAGCAGGTTTTTATCATAGGAATGTCAGCTAGAGTTTAGGGACATTCCTTTTTTATATTCGCACTTTTGTAAAATTTCTCAGAATTGGTCCTGCCGAGACCGATTTTTGACAAACTAAACTTAAAACGTAATTTATTTTTTCTTTTAGATACCACCTCCTAAGCCACCACCACCAGAGATGCATTTTATACCAAATCCCAGTAATACAGAATTTGTATATCTGTTAGGCCTAGAGACTGTGGTCGATTATCTAACGACAAACAAAAAAGCAAATGCTGTGGTACCGCCCCTACGCTGTACACAGTGTAAAATTGATTTTACTCCCGTATGGAAATGGGACAAGCCAAGTGGTAAGCTAACTAATACCCAAATAAATAGGTCAATTGTTATTTCATTAATGCATGTCATTTCTTTGATGGACATATAGGTAATAAAGAACCCAAGGTTATATGCGAACAATGTGACACATCTAATGTTAAGAAAGCTTTGAAAGCTGAACACACCAATCGACTGAAACAAGCCTTTGTTAAGGCTCTGCAACAAGAACAAGAAATTGAGCAACGTTTAGCCACCCAGAGTAGTCCATCACCGGTGGATGCGCATATTATGGCATCGATTTCGTCATCGGCGACACAATCCCAGAGCCAAACACAGCAACAATCTTCGATTGTGTCGTCTGCTCATCAATCTCAACCGGCGATGGCCCATGCGGCATCAACAGCAGCTGCTTTGGTTAATTTGCCGCCATCGGTAACGGTTATACCCACCAAATGTCAGACACCAACGCCACGTCCCACACCGCCGCCAACAAATCAACCAACGCCACCTCCGCCACCACCAACGACACCAAGATCGTCCCGTGTATCCATTTCGCATGCATCACAACCCAGTCCAAGTACTCCAACACCTAGCCAAATGCATCACCATCATCATCAACAACAGCAGCAACAACAACACCAGCAGCAGCAACATCAACGTGAGCGAGAACGGGAACGGGAGCGGGAGAGAGAACGGGAACGAGATCATCATCGTGCCGAGCAACAACAGCAAAGAGCTGCAGCGGAACAGCAACAGCAGCAACAACAACAACAGCAGCAACAATATGAAAAATACTCAGCCGCAGCGTTGGCAGCTGCTGCTCAATTAGGGGCGCTTGGTTTGCCAGGTCTCAACAATTTAGCAGGTCTAGGTGGTCTGGGCAATTTAGGTAATCTAGGAAATCTTGGCCAATTGGGTAATTTGGCGGCACTCGGTGGCTTGGCCAATTTGGGAGCAGCAGCGGCAGCAACCGCTACCAATCCAGCTGCGGCGGCAGCGGCTGCAGCAGCGAACTTAACAGCACATGGCAATACAAATCCTGCTGCTGCAGCAGCAATGCAAGCTTTCCAACAGCAAATATTTAGAGGTATGTTTTGTACTTATGGTTTCTGGTATTTATTTAGTATAAGGAAGAAACTTCTATAAAGATTTTCTATATATACCTCTTCTAAAGATGGAAGACTGATATCTTCCTTAAGAACTTCCGTAAATGGAAGAATATCTAAAAACCTTTGTAAATTGACTTCCTGAAATGCTATAGACGAAGGGGAAGGTCTTCCTAATGGCCCAATAACAAAAGAAGAGCTCATGGCTTTCTTCTATAGATGAAAGGTTTCCATAATGTATTTCGATAAATATTACCGGAAGGTATTTTATAAACGAAATACTTTTACGAAACCCATTTGTAATTGGAATACCCAGTTTCACATGAAAATCTTCTATAAATCGAAGCCATCCTGAAGGTTAAAGTCTTATCTATTAATAGAGGATCTCCTGAAGTTGTCTTATGTATGGAACATTGTCCTAAATTATTTAATACTTAAAGCTCTTCTATATAAATGGTCCCAGAATGTATTATTTTTAATAAAATAATAAAATAAAATGTAGAAGAATGGTAACATAAATAGTAGGTATTTCTCTTGGAAATTTAGCATCCTAATAAACTTTTATGCAAGGAAAACCTGACTGTTCTGACGTAGAAAATCTTCTAATAGATATCTCGAAGGACAATGTACACTTTTATAGATTAAACATTTTAAGTCTACTACAGATGGATAGCATCCTATGGGTCTTTTATAAATAGAATAGAGGTTTCTTGAAGGTTTCACGTAGGCAATTTTACGACCGATGTTTATCGGAGTGTCTTTTCTAAATGAAGATCTTTTGAAAGTCGTCTTATGTTGAACCCTATTAATTTGTCATCTTCTTTTTTTAGCATTGGGTCAAGGTTTAGCAACAAATCCTCAGCATATGATGCAATTTACACCTTTATTGTACTCCTATCAAATGGCTATGGCCCAAGCGGCTCAAGTAGCTGGTAAGTAATACTTGCAATTCCATGTGTTCCTGCATATTCTAATGATAAACTCCCTTTTCCGTTTCATTTGCTTTAGCCTATACAAATAAAAACAAGTCTTCATCTTCAACATCCTCCTCTGCTTCAACATCTAAAGCTCAAACGCCTTCATTGGCGGATATACAACGAGCTGCAGAATTGCAGCGACAATATTTATTAGAGATGATACCACCGCCAGCACCAGGACCTAGTAATAGTCGTCAGAATAATTGGAAAACATAAGTTTTTTTACGGGCAAAAAACAAACTCACACACAGCAATAGAATCCAGACGTACACACACTCACACATATATACATATAAATGAAAGGCGGTGCGCCATCATGCATGCTACGTAACTATTTGTTTTGCTTGGCAAAATATTTTTGGAAATCATTAACATTAAACTGGAACAGTTCGAGCTATACAAACAACATACAACAATTTATATAAATACCGATATAAAAGAATGATATGACTTATGTGGAACTCTTACTTTAATATACATATTTTTTATTTGATTAATTAAAGAAGACTTCTCTTTTTGAGCGCAAAAGAAAATCACACAGCTAAGCTTGCTCGATTATTTTTAATTTTTAGGACAGAATTGCATGTTTCAAATGCATGTTTATTGTTTAATACGATTTTTTTAATTTCAACAATAAAAATTGAAAATAACAAATAAAACAATTTTATTTATCATTGTGTATAGTATAAATAAAATAATTATTTTACTTTTTGCTTAGATTTTAAATATACTCTATACCACTTTGGCGACATATTAATAATAATAATTATTTTAGATATAGATATGTATAAACTACCTTTCTTTTTGCGATTCATTAGACCATTCAAATAAATTTTATAATTGAATTGTTCATCTTAATTATTTTTATTATTAATTATTATTGTGCGAAAAAATCCTATTAAGGTTTTATTAAGGACACATAAATACTATATATAAATACATGTTTTGAGTATTTTTTATTATGAAAATAAAAAAAAATGTTTGTATGATTTTTTTAATATCACATTTGAGTGGAATTTGTTCGGTTTATATATTTAATTACCTAGATTTATATTTGTAATTACCTAGAACCTTGCCCATAGGGTCATGAGCGATTCCAAAAACTGCATTAAATGGACTACTGCAAAAGCTTATTAAAAGCATATTATAATTGAGAATGTATCACGATTTGATATAAGTTCTTATGGAGTAGCAAGCAGTGCGAGGGATATTATACGGGAAATATATGTATAGTGCCGGTCACCTAATTAGCACACACTTAATGGTAAAAGTGATTAAAATCATCACAGATTGAGTATTGTGCAGATATTTTTCATAAAAATATTCTATACTTATATTTTTGTAGTCTTAGTCTCCCTTTAAATTGATAATCCAGAATAACTAATTTTTCCCCCAAAGCAAAATTTTCCGTTTTGGAACTTGATTTAAAATAAGGAAAAAATGAAAATGCGAAAAAATTCACTGTGAAATATTGTTCAGAATAAGCCGAAGGGGAAGAGCGATTAATTTCACGTGGAATCGACATCCAGATTACGACTGAAAATGTCATCACATTCACCCATTCCCTGTAATCTAGAATAACTAATTTTTCCCCAAAGCGGATTTTCTAAGCTTTGGAAATTGATTCAGAAAAAGGGGAAAGTGAAAATGCGAAAAAATCGCTGCGAGTTCTGATTCAAATTGATGTCCAGAATAAGGATGATTTCTAAATGTTTTAGTAAATTCCGTAACTACTGTCCACTTATCATTTTAGAATTTATAAAGAATTAATACATTATCTAGTTTCCAGCGGTAAAGGAACGTTGTTTTGAAGTGCAGCTCCTATGTTCCGGTCCTATAGAACCGAAACACATATCCACTCTTTAGAGGTCTTCTGAGTAGACCAGCATTGACTGGGTCAGCCATATGCAAATGAATGGATGGATAAACTACAGTCTTTACGAAATAACTCTCAGGGACAATGATGGACAAGGTACACCACTCTTTCACATGAAGAAATCCTGTTAAACCACAGCATAAAGGTCAGAGAATATCGAACTTACAATAGCAATATAGAATCACAAATAAAAATACGAAGCGGCCTTCGCAGATTTAAACTTACTGCAAAAATATAAAAATAATCTGAGGGACGACACAAACTATAATGAAGTGTATAAAATCATAACGAATTTCTCAGTAACACGGTCCTCAAATCATTTCCGGGCCACAAAGGAATTACAGGCAATGAGTAATTGCATCTACCCGTCATGAGTGCTACTGACCTAAATAAAATAATGGCAAACCAAATCGAAAGACGAAAGAGACTCACAAAATTCATTGGAATTGGAAAGTAAACCAAACTGATATAGGCAGACACAAATTATTCCCACAGGCCATATCTCATATTGCGGAAAAGATAACAATACGTTGCAAAATTTTCTATGCCACAGAGCAATGGTAAGTAAAATGAGTTGTTGAGGCTGAGGTTAACAGTCATTGGCGGCGGGTAAGTTTTTTGGATCGTATGCCCTAGAGTCGCGTAAACGAGGTGTAAAGAGTGCAACTAATTACTTCAGATGGAATGCATGAAGAATGCGAGCATGCCTCTATATATTCGTGAAAATTAAAAAAAGATGATTAATGCCATGCACCCTTGGCTTTTTATTTATTTTCCATATCTATAACTTTTTATTAATATTGAAATTAATAAAAAAAGAATGGAAACCAGTGGTATAGAGTAGTGATGTAAAAAAAGAGTTTAATGTAAAAAATACACATTACCTGTGTATTTACACTCGAACTCTTTCATGCCAAGAACCACCATTGTTCCGAAAAAAGACTTTGACTGATGGGACTGCTACACTCACTACATGTGCTTCGGCATATGTAGGTAAACATGCAAACAAACAAATTGAACGTACTTTGTTTTTATTTTTTCTTTCACGTTATTTATGAACTTGCATATATTTTTTATTTACTGATTGTCTAATAAACAAAGAAATAGAAATAAAAAAATTAAATTGAAACTAATGCCTCTAAATTGTTTAGCATTACAAATCAAACCATTTGCCGTAATCCATAAATCACTCTATACATAAATAAAACCATAATACATTTCTCCATACAATAAAAAAATAAAATAAAACAAATCCCTAATATTAATTATGAAAAAGAACAACAGCAAACACATAAATAGTTCAATAATGTTCATTATATTAATTAATTATTATATTTTAGATTTATTGTAATTCTAAACGTTAAGTGTTATGTTTTACACTTTTCCAAAAAAACTAAGCAAAAAATGCATAATAATTAAACACAATAGCAAACATTTTTCGTTAATTAATAAAAAATATATACTTGGAAAATTAATTATTTAATTCTTTCTCATATGCCAGTTATAAAAATAAATGAAAACTGAAGTTTTATGAAGGAATAGAGATATATATTTATTTTTTATCTGCTGGCCAAAACTTTCTTTTCGTAGTATAATTCATTTTTTTAATGTCTTAATTTGTAGTTCTTGTTTTTTAATATTTTTTAATTGTTTGCAATTTTTTATACGGATATTTTCTTTTGCGTATATACATATAAAACAATAACAGCCTTAGCAATAGAAAACAAATATTTATTTTTGTAGTTACATTCTAATTATTATTTTAATTTCTAATCTTAAAGTTATGACAAATAAAATATATTAAATAAAATACTTTATTGCTAATATTTCTGACAAGATTTACAGTACGTTTACATTTAACCGGATTTCAAGATTTATTTCCTTTGCATATATGTCACATTTTTATATTTTGTTTATTTCAATAGAGAGGTGGGTTTTAAGTTGAAACTATTGTCATGTGCGTGCATGCCTTCTTTTAAATCTGGACACAAAAATTAATTTAGCTCCACCTTTTTTTTTTAAAAAATCCAAAAACGGGAAAATAACCATTTTGCCTTATTCTGGACATCAATTAACCGTGAATTTGTTCGTTATTCCCTTTAAAGTTATTCTGAATCCGAACTCGCCGGGATTTTTTCTCAATTTCACTTTCTTCTTATTCTGAATCAAATTCGAAAGCGAAAAAAGCCGCATTGGGAAGAAATTAGTTATTATCGATTGCAGGGACTGGGAGAATATGGTGACATTTTGTGTGTGTATGCATATTTTTAAATAAAAAATGGAATGATTAGCCGCACAACAGTGAAAAACTCAAATACAAATTATAAAGCACAACAATAAAGCTACAAAAAAATTTTTTCTTTCAATTTGTAGTGAAATAATAAAATTGCGAATTAATTTAATCGCAAAATGTTACAAAATTAAATTACATTGGGGCAACACACATTACAACTTAAATTACAACATCGCAACACGAATCTTTTTTCAATCACCATTTTCGAGAATTCGAATCCGTATCTCGCATTTGTTGTTTCTCCCTATTCATTCAGAATAAGACGAGAATGTGAAATCGAGAAATTTTTCACAGGCGAGATCACTCCCTAACGAATATCCAGAATAATCTCTAAAGCACATTATTACATTGCTGTATATACACCTAAGTCTGTTTTTACACGGTCTTTTTTACACGGTTTAAAAATTGAGTATTTTTAATTCTTTTACAGGATTTTATTCCATTTAGCACGATTTGAAATTTTATGTACTTAATTTTTTTGTCAAATTTAATTTTTGCGAAGTATGTTCATATCACAAAAAAATATTTATGAAAGAAAAAAGTCTGGAACCATCGATAGTATCGATAGTTTGCGAACACTAGCTTAAATATTTAAGTGAATTCCACTTTAGCGCGTACAAACTTTTACTGGTCAAAGCAAATGTGAGTAGCACTAATTTAGGGGAATTCCCTTTTTTTACACGGCTTCTTCTGGAACCAATCTACCGTGTAAAAACAGACTTAGGTGTACTTCTATACTCTCCATCATTCCAATACAAAATCTTCTTCAAAATATTTGATTATTATTAAATAAATATTTAGGTTTTAAAATTACAAAATCGATTTTGAAGAAAAATCTCTGGCGTAATCTGCGTTATATGTGTCACAGCTATTGTATCCTAAAATTTTATGACAAATTATGCCTCTCTTTGGAAATTGTTTGTGATTAAGTTTAGAAATCATTAAAAATCCAAGACATTACTACTCCTAGTATGACAGGTATTAAAAACGGATTGTCTTTATTTTCAACATATTTTTAGCACTTCTCTTGAACTGGTTGGCCATGATTTTCAACAGAATTTAGATTTTCGCGAATATTTGCTTTAATCTAGAGCCTACAATTGCCTATTTTTAGATTTTCTCGTTAAATTTTTGGACAGTTTTGACTGTTTTTTACCAGAGTTAGCAAATTGTTTTATTTCTAATAGTTAAGCTGAGTGTAATTTGTAGCTACTTAACTATTCTCAGAAATTAATAATATCTCAATTTAAATTTTCACAGTAATAATAATATTTGTTTGCTGTTAAACAAAAATATTCAGTTTTGCCTTAATATTATTAAAATAATAAATAACTGTATATATTATTTATTTTATGTATATTTCTTTATTAATTTCAAGTGATTTTTTGTTTAATTTATAATCATTAGTATATAGTAAAATAAAACAAAACAAAAAATAAGTACATAAATTCTTAATTTATATAAAAATATTCATGGCTACAATAACATTTATATTATTTTTCATATTTTCATTTTTTTTTTCAATTAAAAACGCACACACAAAATAATAATTATAGTTAAATATAGCAAAATTATCATATTATTCTTCCAACAAAAAATATATAATTCAGTGTATTATTATCAATTTAATTGATGTAAATATATATAAACAAATTTCAAATTTATTAAGGTAAAGTAAATTAAACATATTTTTTTAAATTTATTTACCATGGCATAAATATACAAGGTAGTCTCATGCAGTCATATGTTACCAATTTTTCCATAAATTTGCTTTTGGCAACATTCAGCTTTCAAAATTTAAACGAAAATATTTCCTTCGAAATGTGCGCAAATCTTGTGTCCAGTGGCAACAATTTTTGAATCATTTATATTTAAGTTCCCTGCCAATAAAACCAATAAATACAAATTTCAAAATTTTTAGTTAAATCTTGAGAACGATGTGGAGCTTTAGAAAAAATATTTTCATTAATTTTTTTTGCCAATTTTTAATTTGCCAATTGCCATGCGTAACATTTTATGGAATTTATTTTTCATTTTATTTGAAATTCATATTATGAATTCCATATTAAGAATGATTGTCATTATCGATTTCTCAAATGAGAATACATTGTATAGTTATGCCATGTTTATTTACATTTTTAATTTTATAAAATAATTTTTATGCAGCTAGACACCAAAGTTGTAATGCTGAAATGTGTTATCGTGTATAAATTACTCGGTAACGAAATGTGTGGTAAACTTGTCAAATAACTTTTAATCAGTTGTAACCAGCTACATATTGAGAACTTACTCAATATTTCTTCAGTCTTATTCTTGATATTCGCTAGGGAGATATCTCGCATGTAAAAAAAATTTCGCTTTTTTTCTGGAGAGAAATTTCATTAAACTCGTCTTAAATATTCCTTATTGCCCTTTATACATTCCATGGCAATATGTAGTTTAGCAGCTTCGTTATTTATTTAAAAAAAATGCAATATGAAGCCTCAAAGGCCGATTTTAATTAAATTGCAAACCATACTACTCCATATAATAATTAAATCTTAATGACTATATAGGATAATGAACTTATAGGATAGGAATTTCAATGCTTCTGAGATAGTCTCAATTTAGATTGGGCGTTTACTTCATCTTATTTGCATTTGGGGAATTTAAAAAAAATTGCCCATACAATATTTTTGAGACCGAATTGCCTTGTATAGACGCATGAAGCAAGTTGAAAAGAGAAAGATAAGAATTGCCGAAAGTAAACTCTCCTAATCTAAATCAGGGCTTAAAATATGCATTCAAACATTTATAATAGTCATAGAATATTTATTGTGTACATATTTTTCATAAAAATATTTAATACTTATATTTTTGTAGTCAGCTGTCTTTGAATTTATTAGCGAAAAATTTCGCACAAAATGTCTTCACATTCTCCCACTCCCTGTAATCCAGAATAACTTATTTTTCCCCAAAGTGGATTTTTTCGCTTTCGAATTTGATTCAGAATAATGGAAAAGCGAAAATGAGAAAAAACTCTCTGCAAGTTCTGGTTCAGAATACATTTAAAGGGAAAAGTAAAAAAATCACGCTGAATTTCTTCCAGAATAAGGCTGATTATAGTAGCATTCGCTGTTTATGGCCAAATATGAAATTTTGTTGAAAAAAAAATTACTGAAAATTTAATATTATTACAATTCATTTAGATTTGTTTAGCCATATATACCACATCCATGTACCACATCATACAATTAAAAAACAAAAATAGAATAATTATTTTTTTTTCGAAGCAGCCTTGACAGCTATCTCAAGTGCTTTCAAATTCTTACTAGAATAATAGTCCTTTTACCATTATACCGGATTTAGTTAACCCAGTGGGTTTCAATTATCAATTCCATTGTATACATGTCAAATAAATCCTCATAGAGTAGGTTAACCCGGTAAACAGTTCTAATGTAAATGTCATTTATGTTACTCAGAAATAGTTTAAACATTTATTTTCAGTTTGATTTTGTATGCCTTAAGGGGAAGATTTTAAGAATGTGACATTATTAAATGAATATATATATATATATTTGTCTGGCCAAATATAAAGTTATTTTTTTTATACCCTCTTGATTTGTCATAACTTATTTTTTTAAATTTTTAACATAACCTAACAAAATATTTCAGTTTTGTCTCAAAAAGAAATTATTTCATAATTTATATAACACCTCCAAAATTAGACATCGAAACTTACTTAGCCCATACATCATATATATTCTATATACTACTAAAAAAATATATGTTAATATTTTAATGTATATATTTACAAAATAATAACAATAATAATAAAATATGTTTTTATAACGAAAACTTTATTTATTTAAAAATGACTGATTTAATATGAAAGAAAATATTAAGGAGAAAAAGTAAAAAAACATAATTTAATTCTTTGACGATACAAAAGTATTTTTGGCAAATTTTTAAATTAATTTATACAAATAACAACAAGAAAAAAAAACAATATTTTCAAAATTATAGTTAAAAAAAGAGAAACAAATTTAGGAAAGACAAACATATTTTTGGATACAAACACAAAATTTTGGCATAAAATCGGGGAAGAAAATTAGACAAAAAATGGAACCAGGAAAACGTAAATTTAATTCCAATATTTTTAAGATAAGCCAGTCAAAGAAATCAAATTGTGATCAAAACGGAAATTATATTTAACGTAAAAAACAAAAAAAAAAAAACTTATACATTTTAGGCAAAACATAAGTGAACAAAAAAATTAAATACAGCAACAAACAAATTGAGTTTATGTAAGTTTATATTATGTAATGTTTAATTTTTTATTTCAATATTTAATTTCAATAAATAAATGTGCTGCAAAAAATGGTAACTATTTAAATATTAGTAATAATAACAATACAAAAATAAGTAGTAATAATAACAATATACTCCAAAACAATTAAAATCTCCGTGTGCTACTTTTACTTCAGTAATATTAAAATAAAAAAACAAATATCTACACAACATAAAAATTCATTTTTAAAAGTGAAGGAAATAACCAACAATATTTATATAAACTGAAATAAAAAACATCATACACAGAAATAATAGATATTTACTAAACTAATAAAACAACCAGAACAAGATGAATAAAAATCCAATCTCTAAACTCTAAGTAAATGTTTACATTTTTTGCTAAAACTATTTCCAGACATGATCGTCATCAAAATTTGGTCATATTATAAAGCAAACAAAAAAGAAAATAGTACCATAATCATCAAACATCAATAACAACTAAAATTATTTTCATGTATGAAATAAACAGGTGACAAAAATAAATGAAAAAACATTCATGTTATTTAAATTGAATTTTATTTATTTTTTTTTTCATTTTTTAATTAATAAAAAAATAACAAAAAATACAATGATTTTGTAGTTCTTAATATTTTGAATTTATTCGCTCTTCCCTTTAAAGTTATTCTGAACCAGAACTCGCAGCGATTTTTTTCGCATTTTTACTCTGAATCAAGTTTGAAAGCGAAAAAATCCGCTTTGGGGGAAATTAGTTATTCTGGATTACAGGGAGTGGGAGAATGTGATGACATTTTGTGCGAAATTTGTCGCTAATAAATTCAAAGGCAGCTGACTACTAAAAATATAAGTATTAAATATTTTTATGAAAAATATCTACACAATACTTATTCTACGACGATTTTGAATATTATAAATGGTTGTATGCATATTTTTAACCGAAGCTTTGTTTTACATACGTGTGGATCGATTGAAATCGAATTTTAATTTATAAATTGCAATAGCCTACCTTTAAGAATTGTATCATGGTGGAGGTTATAAAATTTCGATTATCAGTTCTCTTATAGCCTCTTCAAAATAGTTTACTCTTTGTACAAACAAATTTGTGTAGTTCCAAAAACTTATTTATTTATTTATATTTAAATAAATAATTACCAGTTTTTGTGTACAGAAACATACATTTTGCATATTCCCATTAATTACTACAAATGGTAGGCCAGCGTTTAAAATAAATGTCCAATTAATAGAAAAAAAACAACTTTAAATCGTTTTATTCTAGATTTATTTTATAAAACATAATGCTACATACGTACATCCAAGCATACATCTATTCGAATATATTACATTACAAAAATAACAAGACTCTTGAAAATTAACACAAAAGAGTTCACAAAGTTTATCACAACAAAAATGAACACACATACATACATCTACTTTAAAGAAAACATAATATTGGACAATGATTTCTTTAAACCGAAAACCAATTCCATTTCTTCCCTTATGTAAAAGTTACACGCACACCCAGTCTCCAATCAGTGCCCGGACCTTAAGAGATCAAAATTATTTACGTTTCCTATAGTCATGATGTATGTGAATAGATCCCGAATAACGACTATTACCATTTTGTAAAGAATTTGAACGATGTAGAACTTTCGCCGAACCATCGATTTGTGTGCGTCCATCAGAGCTGCGATATAAATTAGCAATTGCCTCCAGGGCCAATTCCGTTTCATCTTCTTTTTCGTCGTGCTCCGCCGATAAGGTTAAATCTATTTGACGTTTTGCCCGTAAGGATCTTGTAATAGATTTATGGTGTAATGGCGTAGCATGAATCAGATATAGCATGACCGTCAGTAGTAGAAATATTTGAAAAATTGAAAATCTCGACGTGATAAGCATTTTTGTTTTTATGAATAGGCGAACGGCGAAACGATGATGTTTAATGTTTGAGTATTTTATTAAGACTAAATAAGTATTGTTGTGAACATAATATAGAAACGGTATTGTTTTTTTCATTTATGTAATACAAGGCCTATAAGACCATATTTAATATTACGTAGTTAACAACAAACCCGAGCTTATAAAAACTAATATTCATTATAAAATACTAAAATTTAAATTTTTAATTATTCTAATTATTCTTGGCTCCCCAGCCATAAAATACAAACAATAATAAGAAAAGAGATGAGATTATGTCCAGTAAACCAGTAGTAAAAAGAAGAATAATAAATTTCAAAACCACCAATCATTGCAGTAAACCAAAATATAGATGAAGTTTTCTTTTAAACACATTATTAGAATGGGAGAATATTCTTAGATCATATGGCAATAAATTCCAACATAGTGCTACCCTAACTACAAATGATCTTGCATAAATGGATTTATAAATTCTTGGTATCACCACTTGAGGGTTTCTCGAAGAATGTGAAAAAGAAAACGTGCTGGTTAATGGTTTAGGCTCGCCAGTTTTTATTATATTATAAAATGTCAGTATATTTCGATAAGAAATGAAATTAAAAAAAGAACAACCTAAAAAGCGTTTTACATATTCAGATATAGGTCTTCTGACTGGAACATTATATATAAAACGCACAACAGCATTCAAAGTCCTACGTAACCGAGCAAGATTTATACCAATACAACCTGATACAATTTCAATACCATACAGGATATTTGACAACAGTATAGCATGAGCTACTTTCTTCTTAATATTGATAGGCATATATATATATTTGATGCATAAATTTGTCTTAGTGATCCCCAAATTCTACCAGATAAAGTATCTACATGGTGCCGAAACGATAGTTCATTATCAAGAACTACGCCCAATAGTCTATGGTGGGTTACAAAGTCAATTTTATTATTACAAATTTTAATATTTGGATCAGGAAAGACGTTTTTAAACATACCAAACATCATTGCTTTCGTTTTAGACGAGTTTACTGTGAGACAATTTATAGATGCCCAACACAAAAATTGCTGAAGACATGCATTTATTGTACTCTCAAAAAATAATATATTATCATTGTACCCAGTAAATATCAGAAATATATCATCGGCAAACTGGTATGTTTTGCAAGTTTCCGACTCCACATACTCGTGTAAATCATTTACATACAGTATAAACAGTAGAGGACCTAATACGGAACCTTGTGGAATACCATTGTAAAGTGGAACCGTTTCAGACCAAAAACCTTTAACATCAACAAATTGAAATCTCCCTGTAAGATATGAGTGGATTAGTCGACATGCGGTTACTGAAAAGTTGAATTTTTCCCTTAGTTTAGTAATCATATGTTCAACATTTACTGAGTTAAAAGCTTTTGAAATGTCAAGAGATACCAATACATTTACTTTGCCCTCATTAATATTTTGCCGAATAAAATCCGTGGCCTTCAAAAGCAAATGTGTAGCACTGTGACCCTTTCTGAAAGCATATTGATTATCTGTTATTAATCTTGATGTTTGCTCTAAAATTTGATTTTTTATAACGATTTCCACTACTTTGGACAATGCTGGTAGTATTGAGATGGGACGAAGATCATCTGGGCTATTAATATTCTTCAATTTCGGAATGGGCACCACCCGAGCTATTTTCCATGCCTGAGGAAAAACTGAACTCGTCAGTATATTATTCACTAACTGTGAAATATAGTTCGATATATACGGATAGACCAACTTGATGAAATGTATCGGTATTTCGTCAACACCAACCGATTTAGACTTGATATTGGCAAGAGCCTCGAAAATCTCAACGTCTGAAACACACCGAAAAGAGAATGAAGGCATAGTGTCAGGGAACTCATTAAAATTAATTTCACCCGCGGACAAGGAATTATTATGCGCAAAAAAATTATTAATATCATTCATTCATATTAATTTCAGGCTTATCATAATCAAAACATCCGGAATTTTTTAATATTTTCCACATCCTACTGGAATCAGCATTTCCGAAAAGTCTTGAATAGTATTTCCTTTTTGCCCTGCGTGTTACCGTTCTCGCCTTATTCCGATATTTGCAGTACAAAGACCAATTTTCTTGGGATCGATTAGATTGAAAAGCGGAAAAGGCGAGGTCTCTAATCGATCTGGCAAAAACAACATTTCTAGCTTCAATCCAACGGTCAGATCTATGATGTATTTTCTTTCGAACAATAGGTACACATGAAAAAAGATCACCAAACAGATTCATAATGAGCTTACATTTTATGTTCACATCAGCTGTACAAGAATATGCATTAGCATCAAAGTTATCTAGGATAGAAAATAAATGTTCCCAATTAATTGTATTATAATCTCGATATATAAACTCAGACGGACAATGAATATTAAAGTAGAGAGAAGCAAATATAAGGGCATGGTCAGATACAGACGGACATTGAACTTGGTCGGAGAGTTTTATTAAAGAGACATCACTGACTAGCATGAAATCAATTAGTGATGTCGACCTTCTACTTAGGTCGAAATGTGTTGGTTTGCTGTTGTGTATTATGGACATATTGTATCGGGTACAGAAAGCACGGACATTATTTGCTTTTGGAACATCAAATAGATTTAGATTAAAATCCCCTAATACGACAATATTCGAATATCTGGAGAAAAGATCTCTATGATTATATTCAAAATTTAGTAAATTGCCAGATGGCAAGTAAACCACGCCAACAAGGGTCTTTACATTGTCAAAAACTAACTCTATAAATAGAGATTCACAACCGATCATAGAAATCTGAAAAATGGTTTTATATGGTACTTCATTTTTTATATACATCCCGACACCCCCACCTCTACCAGCAATTTTCCGATCATTGCGACACAATTTATATCCTGAAATAGAAACTGCGTTACTACATACATCAGATGAAAGCCATGTTTCTGATACAGCAAATATGTGAAACATGCTATCATTAATTACATGTCTTATTTCATCAATTTTAAGTTGGGGTTTTATACTACGGCAGTTTAAGTGGGCGACTTTGAAATTATTCTTATTTGAGCATAGGACAGACTTTATATAAGAGCTACTGTTTACAACTGGACCGAGGTTGTCATTAAGAGACATCATAAGATAACAATTTAGAAGAGGGGAGCCAAAATAATATATTTAATATAAAAACGCTAGAATATAAATTCATATCAAAAAATTCAAAATATAGAAAAAATATAAACAAATCATACAGCTGATCATTAGAAAAAAAGATGAAAGACTTATGTTACATACAATAATATAAAATAGCATTTAAATGACTTTAAGATGGCATAGATTCAGTTCCATTTAACAAAGAGGTGCATTTTTCGACATCAGCGTAAATATCTGCCCCACTGGGTAACAATAGTTTTGCCTTTGGTTTATTCGAGTTCAAGATTTTAAATTTGACAATAATATTTTGTCTTCGCAGTTTCTTACATAAGGAATTGAGTTGAGCTGCACCAGGAGAAAAATGTTCATTCAGATAAACTCGGTTAGACAAGTCATCACCTGTTCCCACGATCAGGTCACTAATTTTGAGAGCCCTCGTCTTGTAATACTCCTTCATTATCGAATCTCTTATCGATACATTATTAAATTTAACAAGTATTTGTGTTTTTCTACTTATGTATGAAACATGGTTAATGTCGGGGCTTGATAGAGGCACATTAAAAAATGTACCTAACGCCAGAACAGGTGCAATCAAATCAGGTAATCCCGCTGGTAGTCCACCAATCAGGATGTCGGCACGATTGAGTCTTCGGTGCAGGACATTAATCTCTGTTTCAAGTTCGGTTATTTTTGATGAAGTACTAGCTTCCACATTTTTTATTTGTTCCTTGCAGCTGCCAATTTCAGCCTTAAGCTCTGAAAAGCATGAGCACATTTCATTCTTAATATCATTTAATGCTGATTTTATTGAGTTTTGCTCAGTTTGATTATTTAAAATAAAGCCATCAAACTTTGTATTCAGATTTCGTATCTCATCAGCTACTCCACTATTGTGATTGGTTTGAAGACCCGTGTCGCATTTTGTACAAATGTAATGAGCGTATTTCATTGCTCGCAATGCAGACAAATCCTTCTCAGAAATGTTGGCACAGGAAGCATGTAACCAATTAGAGCATAGTCGACACATTATGCATCCTTGTGTCTTGGTAATTGAGTCGCTACAAATACCACACTTTAGTACTTTCGGCATTTTTGGTACAATAAATCACAGCCGCAGAAAAAAAACAATCAGCATGCAACAACAGAATAACAAAACAACAATTCAGCATGCAGCAACAGTTATCCAACAATAAATCAAAAGCAACAATTATGCAATAACTTCAGATTCGATGATAATTTTATGGCGAGATATAATGAGTCGATCTATAATATTCCACGCAATTCTTCACAAATTTTAATAAAGTATCAAAATGCAATCAACATATTCACTGCATGTATGCAAGTAGAAGTAGAAATTGTATTTTTTTCAACGATCAGCTGCGATGATTAAAAACCACGACTACTCAGGCATAGCGTTGCCAGATCCTCTTATATACAGATGGTAAATACGCGAGCGAATCTCATTTTAATTAGAATAGTGTTTGTAAATTGAGATTTAAAATTTCCTCCTATGGACAGATGGCAACTCCGTCTACGCGACTGTATCTCCTTTTAATTTGAATAGTGTTTGTGTAATCAGAACTTCAAACGCATTAAAATGATACCCATATTGCCATAGTAAACGGAAGTTTGGAAGCACATATCTCCGGAAATGCCGATAAGTATATATAGTAGATATCGGATATAAGCACATCTCATATAAGAAAAAATCGCATATAAGAAAGATTATCAAAAACACCGAGCCTTTTTGCATCTTCTCAGTGTAAAAATTGCTTCATATAAGAAAAACGGGGACAAATGTATTTGAAAACGTTTCATATAAGAAAATATTTTATGCGTATGATACGCCTATAAGAAACAACTTATATGCGTATGTACGCCTATAAAAAACAACTTCCCTATATCCGATAATTCCATATATGAAAAGAAAGCTTATAAGAAAGAAATCTCTGGCTTTTTGAGTTTCCTATATCCGATATATATTGTATCGTTGTAATCAGGGGGGCTACTCTGTATTGCGATGCGTGAGAAAAATTGTAACGCATCGCGTAATTGGTACTCTCTAATTCGTTTTCGTATCTCCTTTCGCATCTACTTTACGCAAATGTAGCATCACCGCACTCTGTAATACGAAAACGCATGTCAAACTCGTTCGTTAAGCGCAAATATCTTGCGTTAACAAAATAGCAAACGCAAAGGAAGCGAAACATAAATTATTTTAAGTAAAAGGCAAAAAAGTCACAGTTACAGGCTCAGCAACGTCAGTTCCTAACTTCAGTAGATTTTATGGGGCAACACAGTGATTTGGCAAAGGGACAGTTGCAGAGTTCAAATACGAAACAACGCGCCAACAATTTGTGGACACAACTGTCTGATGACCTCAATTCAAATTGACCTCCTGTAAAAGATGTCGGTGGTTGGAAAAAGTAATATATTATTTTTTTTATATAAAATGTGAAACTATGTGTGCATATTTATAGGTTGGTGTTGATAACCACCTTGTCCAAGCAATTTCAAAGCAGCGGCCCCTTTTATTGGAGTTGGAATTGTTATGGATATATTTGAAACGATGAGCGTTTAAAAAATACATAAACGAATCTTTATTGAGACATTTTATATAAATCTATAAAAATTAAATATTTGAAAACATTTGTCACATAATAAATTCGTACTTATATTTTCATACCCGTGGTCACTTAGGGAGAGTATATTTGATAGATCTCATAAAATTCTTTTTTTTTAATTCGTTCATCATTTTTGTTTAAAAAAACACTCGTACCACACAAAAATATGTTTTCATTTACAATTTTTTGACGTTTCCTTTTGTCATTCTTCGTTATTGTTTACTTTGTGGCGACAGTGTTGCCCTATTTTCAATTTAGTTTGCGAATGCGTTTGCGTGAACGTTACAGAGTACCAAATTGTACTCTTAACGCATTTAGCTTTCGCATCGCACTTGCTTTCGCAACGCAATACAGAGTAACCCCCCAGGACGCCAAGGACAACATGTGGTAAAATTTTCAAAAAAAAAAACCCGCGAGTACTCAAAAAGTGGTAAAACTTTTGAAATTGTTAAAATGGAAAATCAAATATACCTACTTCCCCTTTAAATTTTTACGTCACTTTAGAGGATATAAGAATAAATTTTGTTTGTAAATAAACGGTATTTATTAGTTCATCATACGGATATCTCAGATCGACAAATCTGTCATTATGCTGTTCAAAATTAACATTATTCTTGGGAGAAAATATTTCAATTAACAAATTCTTACAAATGTACTTTCGTTATGAATTGCATTCACAAAACAAATTCCACTATTTTTATTTGTTTAAAGTTTTGGTTCACTAATTTGAGCTGGTGGCCAATCCCATTGTTTGGCTGGTGCAGGTTGTACCAGCTTTTCCCATGGTTTCCAGCCCAACATTTTACGTGCCAATACCAATTCGTTTTCGGCTTGGACAATCAATTCTTCAACTTGACCACAGCCAATGGCCTTTTCCAAAGAGGGAATATCCTTATGCTGCAAAGAATTAACACAAATTAAAAGAAAAACAACAACGGATAATATAACAAACACTTACAGCTTCTACGGCTTTCGAACGTTGTTGAACGATTTGTTCGGTATATTTACGATAGGCAGCATCTTGTGGCATTTTGGCGACAGCTCTCAAAATTTTGCCATACAAAGCCGACAGTGTGTGATGGGGATTGGTGGAAACAGCCAATCCAGTTAAACCGGTGCTCTGTAAATAGAAATGCCATGTTTAATATCCACATTAGGTTAGAATCTTAGACCCTTATACGATATCTAGAAATCAAAAAGATCTGCATTGTATCTGCCTCTGCCCTCCAGGTATGACATAACAATAACAAATGAAACTTGTTCAGCTGGGCATAAGACGTTCACGTATCATTGTTTCCAATTGTCGTATAACGGCCATTGATTAATGTCTAATAAAACTTACGGCTTTGAATAATTTCGACATTTTTATTTAATTTTTTGCACGTCAAAATAATGCAGGGCAATGCAGAGTGATTTTTTTTACCAACTGCAGAAATATTGAAAAACGTTCCACCTGTTACGAATGGGATAGACAGCTGATAATGCCTGCAGACTGCTGAGTAGTTGGTACAACCACATATTTAGTAATCATTAAGCTATTCACATGCATAAGTATGTCAAATAACAAGTGTTCAGATAGTGTGATATATTTTTTCATACATTTTAGGAGAAGTAGATGTATTCCCGTACTTTAATGGCCAAACATTTTAAATTTTACAGAGGATATATTTGTGAAGTAAAATTATTGTAAAATTATATAATTTACAGATGATTGAATTGAAAATTAATATGGAATGAAGAAATGCCAGACGTTTACATTAAATACATTTGTATAAATTTTGCCTTTGTATAGTGAACATTTTGCCTTAAAATAGAAGAGCAAGAGTACGGGATACAAAAATATGCGGCTACATTTTGCAAAGTATTCCCTTATAAAGGCACGGTATATACATGTGTGAAACACTACATCATTTAAATTACCTCCAGGCGAACTGTTAATTCTTTTCAGCTTATTTTCGACCTCTTTTTGGCACAAATTGGGGGGTATCTCAGCCATACTTGACGAATTTTGGGTTTTGATTGCGACCACGAAGTGTCTCTGGCAATAAAGTCATATTTGCTCGATTTGTGTTTTTCCATGTAGGACCGCCTTGTTGAAACCACATGTTTTTTGAATAATTACATCAGCACCTCAAATACGGCAATTTGGTTTATTTATACAATTTTATATTTGGAAGATAGTCAACTGAATATAAAAAATGGAAGTCCTATACTTTTGAAACCACGAAATGGTTAACAGTTTATGTGCACTAAGCCGAAACTTTTTATCGGTATTTCAGACGGTTATTCTGATCTGAGTAGCTTCATTTTTAAGTAAATTATAGTTCTAAATTGTTATAAATAGTAAGTGTTGAAGTAAAAAAACAAATTTAATATATTTCGCTCATTTGCTGCAAGACAGGCATAACTCAAAAAACATAATTTTGCAGAAAATGCGTTTTAAGTTTTCAATTTACTCACACTTTAAATTAGAGTGTGTAAGAGATATTCCTATTATTTTTTTTACACAACATAAGGGGGGTTACTCTGTATTGCGATGCGTAAGTGTGGTTTTATATTTGTCGGGATCGGGATCGTTGTTGAGAGTTTCTCTCTCTTGAGAGAGTAATTAGAGTTGCGCTATTTTTAATTTTGTAACAAGCGTACTTTTTGTTCACAAAAAGTACGAATTGACATAAACGTACCAAAGCAAAAATTAGATTTTTTATTATTCGTGAATACATTTACGCTTAAATTATAACATATATTATTTATGCAAATAGCTGGTATAAATATTGGCCAATATTTCTCGATAATTATGATTTATTATCATTTGAAGTAGAATTTTAGGTACCTTTTCGCACTTTTTTGTTCCTACCTGTGGTAATGTTTTCCAACACAATTCACAATTTACCACTGAGAGAGAGAAACTCTCAACACCGATCCCGATCCCGACAAATATAAAACCACACTAAGAAAAATTGTATCGCATCGCGTAATTGGTACTCTCTAATTCGTTTTCGTATCTCCTTTCGCATCTACTTTACGCAAATGTGGCATCACCGCAATCTGTAATACGAAAACGCATGTCAAACTCGTTCGTTAAACGCAAATATCTTGCGTTAACAAAATAGCAAACGCAAATGAAGCGAAACATGTAAATAAGCACAATTAAAGTTTTTATTTATATCTAAATTGATAATTATTTTGGGTGAAAGCCAAAAAAGTTACAGTTGACGACTCAGCACCGTCAGTTCCAAACTTTAGTAGATTTTATGGTGCAACACAGCGATTTGGAAAGGGGCCAGTTGCAGAGTTCAAATGCGAAACGACGCGCCAAAAAATTGTAGAGAAAACAGGATGATGACCTTAATTCAGATGGACCTCCTGGAAGAGATGTCGCTGGTTGGAAAAAAGTAATGTTTTATATTTTATATATAAAATGTGAAACTATGTGTGCATATTTACAGGTTGGTGTTGATAACCACCTTGTCCAAGCAATTTCAAAGCAGCGGCCACTTTTATTGGAGTTGGAATTGCTGTGGATCCATTTGGAACGACGAGGTCATTTTTAATAGCGTTTATTAAAAACATAAACGCATCTTTATTGAGACGAACATTTTGTACAAATTTATAAAAATTAAATATTTGAAAACGTTTGTCACATTATTCGTACTTCTATTTTCATACCCGTGTTCACTTAGGTAGAGTATATTTGATCGATCTCTTAAAATTCTTTTTTTAGTTGGTTCATCATTTTTGTTTAAAAAAAAAACACTCGTACCACATAAAAATATGTTTTTATTAACAATTTTTTGACGTTTCCTTTTGTCATTCTTCGTTATTGTTTACGTTGTGGTGCTAGTGTTGCCCTATTTTCGATTTATTTTGCGAATGCGTTTGCGTGAGCGATACAGAGTACCAAATTGCACTCTTAACGCATTTAGCTTTCGCATCGCACTGGCTTTCGCAACGCAATACAGAGTAACCCCCAAGGTCTATTATAGAGAACACTTGTGAAGCATTAACTAGAAAATCACGTTATTTGAGTTATGCCTCTCTTGCAGCAAATAAGCGGTATGTACTTCTTTTTGTTCCCGTGCTACAAAAATCTACTATTTTTTACTATGATAACAAATTTTCCTTTATGATATCGAACAAAATAGTAGATTCTTGTAGTACGGGAACAGAACAATTATTAAAGCCTTCAAGGACAAATACTCTAATGTGAACATCCTTTAACTAACAACTTCAAATATCTGTCACAAACCATTTAACTAATCTATCAAATAATCCACTTTCAATAGGTCGTACTGAGAGAGAGAATTTGTATGTTTAAACGGGGGGAGAATACCACCATGCTCTCAAAGAACATTTATGCATGTTTCTTTCGTGTTTTGATAATAATTTTGTAAAATTCGTGTCAAGTGTTTTCAAAAACTATATACTTTTCGAATTAGATGATTAAATAGAATGCACTCCAAGCACTGAAGATGGTATTGTATAAAAACACGTTATCAGTCAATGATTAAACACTGGGAAAACAAATGTAAACATATGATTGCGCGAGTGCATGATTGTGTGTGCCGCCTGATTTGAGATAATAACTGAGAGTGGTGGCGATAGCAGAACCCCAAAGTAAGAACATACAAATAAAAAGCTATAGGCAGAGCAAGTGGACTCCCAGTCCGAAAGAAACATCGGTTGGCGGTCGTGTTGTGCTGTATTGCGGCGGAACTTCTATACCTGTGAGTAGTGAGAGTGAGCTGTGTGTGTGATTTAGTGCTTTATGGCAAAAAAGCTAAGAAAGTTTTTTCCGTTGTTGTTGGAGGGGGAAAACAAGTGAAATTGTTGTTAATGAACTCTACTGCGAATTCTTGGCATATTGATGAGTGTTGTGTGTGCGTATGTGATTAATAACAGTAGCGAAATGAAAACGTTATGAAAAAGGGCGTTAAGATTTGGCCATTTTAAATTCCCAAGCCAAATTCTATTATTAACAGAGGTCAGCATCTATAATTTACAACCACTTGAAGCGAATAACTAAATGAATGAGTGGATGAGTTTGTGTGGTGTCGACGACGACGACGTTGTTGTTGTTTTTTTTTCTTAATTTTTGAATTAAAATGACGATGACTGACAAGCAGCTGCTCATCTTCCTCATATTCTACTCACCTTGCTGCTTGCTGGTGCGTTTAGTACACAAACAAACTACCAGCTCTCATGCCTTCTTGTGGTTGGGAGGGGGCGAGATTTGTTGTCTGACCGGTAGAAGAGTACAATCACATCTCCACCTTAATGATCATCAAAGAGCCACAGTTTCCAAACATTAGTCTTCGTTTATAACGTTTTGACAACGTGTTTGTTTACACATCAGAATACCAGCGGAGGAAGTATTTGGGTAAACGATCTTGTGGGAACATTGGCAACAACGGAAATAACGGCAAGAACTTATGTAAAAAAAATATTCAAATTATATATTACTAGACCAAGAAGCTCATCAGTTAGCAAAGGGCAAACAAAAACAACAATAAAATAATTGCTAGCTCATCAATTCCCATTATTGTTGGTAATTGTTGAAATATATTATTGATATAGTTTGGTTTTTTATACATTTTGCTGACGTCAGTTGCTGTTCAAAATAAATCATGCCTATCGCTATATTTATTATATAAAAAAATGTGAAATTTTATCTACTTACACTTTCGTTTACCTTCACTGTTCCAGTTAAAAACAATAATTACAAATAACAACATTTCATAATGGCTCCCCCAACTGTTCTGGTAACCGGAGGAGCTGGTTATATTGGCTCGCACACTGTTTTGGAGATGCTCAATGCTGGCTATAATGTCGTCTGTGTTGACAATCTTTGTAATGCCTACAGTTCCGGTACAGCTAAATTACCCGAAGCCTTGAATCGTGTCCAAGAGATAACCGGAAAGAAGGTTCACTTCTATCGTGTCGATATAACAGATCGTGAACAAGTGCGTTCTGTTTTTCAAGAGGTATGTTAATTCAATATATTTTTTAAATTTATGTATTTCTAAGTGGTGAAGTACCAGGTCCCTCGCCTAATTTGCCAATTAATATTTAGACTGCGTTTGCGCATGTGTGTTTTTTAAGATGTTAATGAAAAATGATGTTTGTACAGTAACGTACGTTCGTGTGTATGTATGTGGTTCATTGACCGATATTTAACCTAATTTTGATGAATTACTTTGTAAATCAAGTTTTTTTTATATTTTTTTAAGAGCGGGGTATACATTTTGTAAGTTGTAGATGTGAATTACAACTAAATTAAAAATTCCATATACCTATTTAAATAAAAATTAGATTTTTTTCCACAACAAAACTTCGTAAGATCCTAAATATGTCGATTATATATCTTGGGATAAGATTAAGTAAAAATGTAACGTTATACAGCCGGCGAGGCGGTTGTATTCGGACTGTGGACTAAAAATTAAAAATAAAACAATGGAATTATGTCGATGAGTTTGAAATGGAATGTAAAAATCAATTTATCCTGCATATATAGTTAGAAGATGCCAGTTTGTGGTCTTGTTAGTAATAGTATTAAAATTCGGCTACAATCACTTTATAGGTTAAAAAGGTTTGAGATAAAAACCATGTTAACTATTGTGGTTTGAACAAATAATTACTGAAAAATGCTTATTTTTCACCCATATGTCGACTATAGGAAAACACCGACTTATTTTACCGCATCAAAATTATTAAAATATTTTCTGAAAATTGGAATTTTTTACAATTATAGGACAAGGCAGGGTAATAATCATATATTTTATTTTTGTATACTTTCGAGACCTTAAAACATGCCCTCTAATGTTTATACCCACAGCCAATTGTGCCTCATCGAAAAATTGGTTTTTGGTTCCAATTTTGGTTTGGACCAAAAAGACAATTTTTGGCTCAACATTTTCTATTTGTATGAATCTAATATTAAGCGAATGTAATGTTCCAAGATGGGGAATGACCCTAACTTATTAACATCTGAAAATTAATTTTTTACCAATGCAAGATCATTTTAATCGAGACTGTATATTGTTGTAAGGTGGGACTTATCGGCACAGTTTCTGGTACACCCCACAAACGTTTTGAAAATTTGTTAATTCAATATCAAGCTAATTGTATGTGTCTGATTTGATCCAAACTTTGCAAATCCTAATACTTTTTCCAATCCCGGAGATGGGACTCATCGATCCACTCCTTCTGCTACCTCCCCCACAAACATTCAAACATTAATTTCCATAGACCTCTTCTGGTGTCTCTCCAAAGATAGTCAACTATTTGATGAAAACATATACCTTATATTAAGCGAATAATAAAACCAGTGTGTAGTATTTCCGTAGACCTCCGTAAACCCTAGGCCGGGGGTATACATATCGCTCATTTGCTGCAAGACAGGAATAACTCCAAAAACGTGATTTTCGAGTTAATGATGCACGATTGTTCGCTATAATAGTTGTGTAAAAAAATTCATATGAATATTTTTTACATACTCTGATTGAGAAACTATAGAATTTCCTCTGTTCTATATAATGTAAATTGAAAACTTAAGACACATTTCTGTAAAATCGTTATTTTTTAGTTATGCCTGTCTCGCAAAAAATGAGCGATATGTCGACAATACTGACTGATTCTTTTTTACATATTTACCTAATGAATGATCTAAGTTTTATGTCCATTTACACAGAGGTATCTATCTTAAAAAGAACATTTTTGAATATTTTCAAGGTAATTTTCATATTTAGTGACAGGATTGTTTAGTTATTTGAGTTTTAACACAATAGATGCCGACTACTGGCACATGCCGACATTAGGAACACTTACCCCATATACTGTATGGTGCCTCCGACGAATATTTTCTATTTTGTTAGAGGGCATAAAAAACGTATTACGCTTTTTTGGTTACCAATAATTTTTAAATAGAATTTATGATCTATTATAATGCATATATTTTTATTTTGGCATAAATGAAAAGTGCATGTGTGTGTGGTAGTAACTACGAAAGCAAAGTACTACACTATTTAAAAAAATTATAAATAAAGTACACTTGGGTAACCACTCAAGTTCTAGCTGTAGATATTGCGTACGTGATTGTAATGTCGAATGTATTGACCTTAGTATAGAACATCATATTTATAGGTGATGTACAAACAATAAAAATAAACTTTATAGTATGTATATAAATAACAATAACTAAATATGATATTTGCACAAGTGTTTATTATTATAATTGTAAAAGGGGAACAAACAGATTATATGCCTATTGTTTGGTATTTACAATTAACATTTTCACGATGCCATTTTACAAAATGATATATATATATATATATATATATATCATTTTGTTGATGACATAAAAATGCTGAGCACGATTTTAAGACGTTCCTTATTTTCAATCAAATACTGGTGGAATGTAATACTCAATTCAATTTATTTTCTTATACTCTGGAGTGGTCAATTCAATATGTAACAATATACTATCTGATCAGGAATGAATTGATAACAATAACAAATTACGTTGTTGCCATAAATTTAGTGTGCAAAATAAACTGCACCACCCATGCGTTGTGATTTATTTGTGCTTATATTCAGTCTAATGTTTGATTAATATAACAAAGTTTCCCAGACCTATTATTATACTTTTAATTTTTCAATTCGTTCTTGAATCATAAATCAAAAAATAAGTGATCTTTATTCAAAGGAAAATTAAATTTCAGACATTTTTAAATGACGTAAAAATGTACATATATAAAATATTTCCACAATTCCAATCAGACTCTTCTTATCTTCTGTTTTCGTGTGTGTTTTTTTAAATACATTTTCCTGGAAATATGTTTATTTGTGTTTTATGTTCACATCTACTATCTGCAGTAATAAATTCACCTAATTGTTAATGAAAAGAAAACTATATTTATTCCATAAAACGATGATTCACAATTTAAAATAAAATTGAAAATAAATGTATGAAATTAGGCAATGTTAAAAAAAAATGTTCTGCCCATTTTAGATTCTTTTAATTCATTTTTTTATAATACTCTTCAGTTTGAGACTTGTTGTTTTGTTTTATTGAATAATTAAATAAAAAATGTTCTCTTCAATTTTGTTTTTAATGCATAACCATTGATAAATAAATATATGTATAGCTAATGATAAGAGATTCCCATGTACAGCTGTTGTTAAAGTTTTTAAGAAATTAAAAAAAATGTTTCTTATCACAGTTTTTCGATATACACAGCAATTAGGTTTCTTTGCTTTGCTTTCAACACGTATGCAGTATAAATAAATGTAGATATTATAAGCGACGTTATGGCATTTTTTGCTTATAACTCAATTTCATGAATCAAAAACAAAAAAAGTGCCAGCACCAAAAATATACTTTTGTATACATTATCAAGAATATGTTAACACAGCAAATATTTAATATGTCTGCTTCTTCTTGCCTTCTTAAGTTGATGAAGTTTCAAAACATAAAAGTCGATAATATTGATACGAGTGTTACTTTATTTTTAGTAAAATAACATAAAGTAGGGTAAAAGATAAAAATGATTGTTTAAAAAATTCACAACAATGTTGGATCATTACTTTGTTACTTTATTTTTAGTAAAATAACATAAAATAGGGTAAAAGATAACAATTAATGTTTCAAAACTTTATAACAATGTTGGATCATTACTATCATATTTTTAAATAGTTTGACCCAGACCACCATTTACGACCATAAGTATCGAAAAATTATTAAAGAATTTTTAAAGCATTATAATTTTTTTCAGGGCATGTAATTTTAGATAATATTTTTTAATGCTTATTGCAGCTAGGATTTGTTCAAAAGAATATTTTTTAAGAATTTTTAAAGCGTGGATCATTAAGGCGTGGTTATTTAAAAAATATATATTTTTTTCTAGGCTTATTAAGGCATGGATTTTTTTAAAGATTATATATAGGCTCATTAAGGTGTGGTTATTTAAAAAAAATATTTGTATTTCAAAAATATTTTTATTTAAAGAATATTTTTTGAAGGTTTAGATTTTTTAATTATATTTTTTGAATGTGTCGATTTTTTAAAGAATGTTTTTGAACGTGTCGATTTTTATAAAAAACATTTTTTCAGTGTGTTGATTTTTTAAATAATATTTCTCTCTATTCTTGGGTATTTTTTATATATTTTATAGAATACCGGCAAATCCTCTTTTTCATTTATTGAATACCTATTTGAGTCAGTTTTTCGCCAGATTTCATACTTTTATATGTAGGCTTGCTCTGTATGGCCTTACTCGGGCTGTATGGCCCGTTTTGTAATATTTATTTGTAATACTCTCTTCACGAAGTTCTGAAGTGACACACACTGATATACATATATATTTTTCTATCAACTACTTTTACTTGCATCCTCAACTAATTCCAACTAATAAACATTGTTTTGTTTTTTATTTTTTTTAGCATAAAATTGATATGGTTGCACATTTTGCTGCCCTCAAGGCGGTCGGTGAATCATGTCGTATTCCATTGCAATATTATCACAACAATATGACGGGGACAAATGTTCTACTTGAAGCAATGGCTGATAACAATGTCTTCAAATTTGTTTATAGTTCCAGTGCTACTGTCTATGGTGAGCCACAATTTTTGCCCGTCACCGAAGAACATCCTGTGGGCAATTGTACAAGTCCATATGGTAAAACCAAATACTTTACCGAAGAAATTCTAAAAGATTTGTGTAAATCTGACAAGGTATGATTAACAAAATTGGGAGAGAATGGAACTTTTATTTTAATTCAATTTTTTCGTATCATTTTTAGCGTTGGGCTGTCGTCTCCTTGCGTTACTTCAATCCCGTTGGTGCTCATCCCAGTGGACGCATTGGCGAGGATCCTAATGGTGAACCCAATAACTTAATGCCATACATTGCCCAAGTTGCTGTTGGTAGACGTGATTGTTTGCAGGTATACGGCTCAGATTTCCCAACCAAAGATGGTACTGGTGTACGTGATTACATTCACATAGTTGATTTGGCCGAAGGTCATGTCAAGGCATTAGATAAATTGCGCAACTTAGCCGAAACTGGTTTCTTTGCCTATAATTTGGGCACCGGTGTTGGCTATTCCGTCTTGGAAATGGTCCATGCATTCCAAAAAGCCTCAGGAAGAAATATAAATTATAAATTAGTTGATCGTCGTTCGGGTGATGTGGCAACATGTTATGCTGATGCCAGCCTGGCTGAAAAGGCCTTGGGTTGGAAAGCGACTCGCGGTGTAGATGAAATGTGTGTCGACACATGGCGTTGGCAAAGCAATAACCCCAATGGATATGCCGTCAAATGATTTAGAACTACAACATACTGCATTTGCTTATATGCATTTTCTGCTATATGATAAATTTTAACGAAACATTCTTTAAAACAAAAATGTATTACTTTATGTTTTCTGTTGTATGTATGATTTTTATTTGTTTATTTGTTTGTGTTATATTGTGAGTGCTTCTTGCCTGATATGGAAATAATTGTGCAAATGATGATATTTGGAAAAGAGTTTAAATATAGTTTTTCCAAAATCATCTATAAAATATAATTTTTGTTTTTTTCTTTAGTATGTCGCAAATATATACAACACATAGTCATTGTTTTAAAGTAAACATATTGTCTATAGTATAACATTCTTGAACTATTTCATTAATCGTTTTCCTCTCCCAAAAATATACTGTTTTAGTTATTAGCAAATTATGTTTTAGTTAAATTTTAATAAACAAAAGAAAAAAATCAAGAATGCATTTAAGCATTTAACTATTATTAAAAAAATATAAATATATATGTCCATAAATGTGTATTTAATAATAAGAAGTGTATTTATGAAAAAACCGATACTTTTGCAAAATATATATATTTTTGTATATAAAGTACAAATTGTATGCTATATTATTTTGAAATTATGTACGGGTAATGATATTTTTACAAAATAATAGTGATTTAAAAAACTCCATTCTTGATTAGGGTAAGACATTTTTTTAATTGTGTTCCCAGTTAATGATACATATTTGTTGTCTGCAACACCGACTGACACTTTTTTGCTTTTTTCTTTAGAATTGTATTCAACTGCCTGCAACTTTTTAGCTAATTGCTCTATTAATACATACAAGGTGTCGTAGTAAAGGTCAACATTTTGTCTTTATTATAGTAAAAACTAATTTGAGGTTGTAATTTTTTAACGCATATTTTAAAACAATTTTTCGTACATAGCATTTCATATTTTTACATTCATGAGCAATTTTATTACTATACTCCAAGTATTTCAAAAGTTATTGCACATTGAAGAAACCATAAATATTCCTATTCGATATACTGCATCAATAGATTGCATCACAGTCTCAAAATTTTCAGGTCGTAACGAAATTAAGGTATTGGTAAAATTGAAATAACTTTGAAATGCGTTGAGATATTTCGAAAAAATTGGTTTGTCTACGAAAATTACATAGAAAGCTTTCTAATAATTGAATAACAACATATAGCTTTTGTACAACGAATAATAGAATCCGTGTATAATTTTACGGACCTCAGCTAACCATAGGATGAGGGTATATATCTGTCGACAACATCGACTGACAATTTTGAAATTATTAGTAGTTCCTTTATTCGACTTCGTTCCTTGTACCCAAGGGGTTTTAAAATCTTATATGTCTACTTTCTTCATAAGATGTCACCATTTTAAGCCATTGGAAGTACTTAAACCACCTCCATCCTTTGATAATGCTATTACTGTGGTTATAGAATATTCATTATTAATGTTTGTATTGGAATCATATCAACATGTCTGTGACCCGCTTTTCGATTTCCAACAAAGTATTCACACGCGAAATGTATTCCTTAAATTATTCCATTTATGAAAAATATACATTTATATTCTAATTTATTAAAAAAAATATTAACTAAATAATAAAATTTACATGTTACATACAACTTATAATTACAATTAGGATATATTTCTTTCTAAATATTCATCCTTATGATAATAAATACTTTCTGCCATATAATTGAGCTTTTTTCTCAAATGTTGGCGATTTAATTGGAGTATTGATTTTATAAAAGGAATTCATTGAGTACTTCACATACGTTTCATACATTTCATTAAAGAAGTTCTTAATGCCCTCGTCATTTTTCTGATCATGGACAATGATGAAACGAATTTGGCTAGCTGTTACAAATGCCGAAACAAACCACTGATTAAAACGATCTATGGACTTTAAATACATATTGGGCGTCTTCCATTTGTGTTCGTCTACTAAATCTAAGGCGGCATGAGCTATAAATTGACTTAGATGGCGGTGGTCCTCTTTCTGAAAAAAGGCAAAATAAAAGCAATTATGTATGGTTCCAAAATATAGACTTAAGAATTAGTTGGATTCAGATGGAACTGAAATTATTACTCAAGGTCTTGGAAAGCTGCGATGCGATAATATATAATATTCGACAAGTCAATACTCTGGGAGTATGTTCTCAGAAATATCTGAAACTTGCTTTGATGGCTTAAATGTTGTCGGAATCCACGGAATCCAACACAACTTCTTACAGACTGCTAATAGACATCACATACCCTCATTTCTTTACTAACTGCTGGAAATTCCATTTCAAATATGGGATTATCCTGATGACCCACAATAACAAAATAAAATGTGGGCATTGTTGAATATTATTCTGGTACTAGGGCGTTAAAATGTATCCTGGATTGGCTCTAATTCTTGGATTGGCTCACTCTTCGCTCGGAAATATTGCAGAAATATTGAAAAACGTTCCACCTTTTACGAATGGGAGGGGACATGGCCTATAAATAAGGTCACCAAGATAGCAATCGAAATCGGAAAACAGCTGTTTTTTCTCAAGTCTAATGTCAAAAATTTCAGCTTTGTTTACGTTTTCATAATGGACGTCAATTCACAATAATGCATTTTGACAGCAAACTTGAGAGGTATCGATAATCAGCTGGTCTCCCTTGGTGACCTTATTTATAGGCCATGGGAGGGGATAAGAGAAAATAAATAATCGATACCTCTCAAGTTTGCTGTCAAAATGAATTATTGTGAATTGATTCCATTATGAAAACGTAAACAAAAAACAGCTGTTTTCCGATTACGATTGCTATTGGTGATGACTATAATAGGGATACATAGATCGACTGTGAACATTTCGATCAATCGATTATTTACATAAAGGAAAATTATTGTATTTGGGTCGGTCTGTTTTTTTATTCTAGTAATTTTTTCACAGTGTAATTCAATTTTCCAGCAACAGTGCATCAAAAAAATAACAGTCAATTGGAAAATGTGGGAATTATACTGTTTTTTATAATATTTTATAATTTATCCAATTAGCATTGAGCTGCCCAATACCATTTGGCAAAATATTTTCCAAATAATCTCTAAACTGAAAGATATAATATATTGAAACATAGTTTTCGAACTACTCCGTTCCCGAACTTGCATAAACCCAACCCATTATCCATCTATATGAAATGTTTTAAAAAAACAGTATGATATTTAAAGAAAACAACATATAGATATATTTTAATATTTGTATTACATTTGTTTTACAATAAAAAAGGCAAGTATGATTAATGACCATGGCCCAATAAACAGACCGTGTAATGAGCGAAATGATTTCACTCGAACTGTCAAAATTTGACTTAATCGTGTGAAAATGTTAGCAAAAATAGTTTAGGTATTTTCTACCAAAATGACCGATAATATTCGCTTCTTACACGACCTGTTTATTGGGCCATGATTAGAGACTAATTATGATTTCTTGAATAACATTTAATTAAAATAAAAATAAACATGCATAAAAATATATATTTAAATAAATACTTGTTTTGTACATATACATAGAGAGAGATTGCAAAAATTATTACAATTACAACACATTATTGCCTAAAAATTAAAATGTTGAAATTTCACTTTGATGTTGAACTTGGGGGTTCATATTCGCCATTATTGGGAGAGGATAAGCCAACTTTTTCCATTAGTTCTGTTAACTTTTGTGCTTTACGATCTTCATTGTGGGCTATAACAGTACACAAATGTTCTGTTAACAGTTCCTTTTTCTCTGAAGCATTGTGTAAATCCATTTTGGCTTTCAGGAATTGTGCCTCAATTTTTAAATAATTTTTTCTACAATGAAATATTAGTTAATAGTTGTTAGTTACGAAATTTCTTTAGATGTGACTTACTCGACATTTGAGAAATGTATACAGGCTGCTTCAATTTGTTTCCTCAGTACGGCTACATCGACTGCTAAATCGTTGTCCAATTTGGAAAGCTCAGCTTTGATTTCTTCAATTTTTCGCGCTTCTGCGGCAGTTTTTTGAGAACTAAGATTATGAAAAGGATATTTGTAATTACCATTGTTTTATAATATGGATTCTTATAAAAGGGAAACATTTTTTGTTAAGTCATACAGAGATAAATGTTTAAAAAATTCCTAGGGAAAAAATTCCCAAAAAGTCCGTCTCTTATTTTATTGGGATACAATGTCAAAGTGTTTATTTTTCAGAGTATACAATACTCAACATAAGTAAACATCCCGGAATTAACAATTAACACACTATATAACCAAGCGTCTCTCCTAGTAACTTCGATAAAAAAGGCGCCTGGTGTAATTGGTGTAATTAGTCCAAGGTCTATTAATGAGGTCATCCAGGGAGACAAGTTGTATATCAGCTGCTTCTTAAGTTTGCTATCAAAACCCATTATTGTCAATTGATTTCCATTATGAAAAAATAAACAAAGTCCAAATTTTTGACATTAGACATGAGAATTAACATTTGACTTTCGCTAGCTGCGTTAGATTGGCGTCTTGGTTGGCATAACCTGAATCCCTTTGAATATGTTATCAAAGACCACTCCAAGATTTTTGGATTCTCTTGGATTTTATATAAAATATTTTTATGAGTCGGATATATTTATATAAAAAATATCGAAATCTTCTTTATATAAACTTTATACACCATAAACTTGAAACGAAAAACATTATACTTGTATTAACTTAATTGTGTTTTAAAATAAAAATGTGTAGGTGTCTCATCGACCTTAAAAACCAGCTCTACTATTTTTATTCTCATTTCGTTGTTATGAATTTAATTTCCTATCGAATTAATAGTGAAATGGGGATTAAAACCCAAAGTTGGAATTCTCAAACTGATAACAGAACATTTTCTTTATCAACAAAATTAAACTCAGGGACTTTTTTGTTTAAATTACTTACTGCTGTTCAATAACTTTATAGAGTAGATCTTTTTTCTGACGATTTTGTTCTTCAATCATTTTTCGATGCGATTCAAAATCTTTCAATGATATTCCACGGAATGGTGATTGTACATTTAATGAACTTGGCGGGACAAAGGCATCGGTAGGTTTTCCATTTGTAGATGATGATGGTAAAATAGACGAATCATCAACATCTTCCATGCTATTGCCATTGGAACTTGTTGAAGATATTTTGCTTTCATCTTCCAAATTTAATTTCAATATGGAAGAAGTATTGCTTGATGTTTGCTGTGTTTGTTGTTGTTGCTGTGATTCTAATTCTTTGTGAGTATATGGCTGACCAGCAGCAATATTTGGACGTGACGTTGTCAATGTTGGTGTTCTTGCTGTTGTATTGGTAGTTGGTGTTTTGGATTCGTTCGACTGTTGTTGTTGTGATTTCACAGGCGGTTTATAGAATAAAGCTTCTTCTATTGACTTGGACAGACTGCCATCCAAATTGATCTCTTCCATGGAATCATTGGTGTCCATCTGTTGAATTTTATCTGTTAGATTTCTTTTATTTGCTGCCATGTTATTTTGCATTTTCTGGAGGCGATTGATTTCACTTTTGTCTGGCATTCGTCTGATGCCACCGTGTCCACGAAATGTTGCTGGTTTAACTAGAATCAGAAAAAAACACACACAAATCAAAGCAACCATAAAAAGAGATTCAACTTAGAACTTGAAAGAACTGCTTGTGTGGTGTCAACATTTATCTCGGCAACATCATGTAAATTCGTCTGTCTGTTTGCCTTCGGATGGATACTCACTGCCATTATCGATTGGAAGTTTTTTGTTCTTTTGGCCCGAAACACGATTTATTTCGTCTTGACTGAATCCATTGAACTTATCAGACATTTTGACTAATTTTACCACTAATATTTAAGAAATTATGTTTAGTTAAATATGTTTAAGTTTAAAAAATATTTAAAAATGAACGTGTATACTCATGAATTTCATTAAAAATACAAACAAACTGATCGCAGCGAGAGTTGTTGGTGAGAGCAGAGTTCCGATTGTAAATGTCAATTGTGCATTATCAATTAGTGTTGCCAACCTGTAATGGACGATCAGTTGTGTAGAGATGGCATGCTTAATTTCGATAATTTTCGTTATTTTCCGATTTCAATAAAAAATGTAAATTGTAATAAAAATTAAATTCAAATTTTGTATTAAAATTTAATAGAGAATAAATAAATAGAGAAAAATATTGTAATTTGCACAAAATGTTACTAAATATATTGTTTAAAAACTTCAGTAAAAGAGTGTATATATGATATATGTATATTATTGTCATCTCATATATTTTACAATAAAATTTCATTGCAAACTAATTTTGTAAAAAATGTTTGAAAGAATCTCTCTTGCTCTTAGAAAATAAATTACTGAGTAATTATTATTGGAATAGTACTTACACCAATCTATTTTTACACTCCGCCTCATAAATCTCAAAAGAAAAATTAAAAACATTCACAATTTTTTATTTTTATGATTTTAAATGGGCTGGTAAATGAATACCAATGCTTGTTAAGGTTTGTAACTTGCACATAAATATTTGAAGATTTAAAAAGGAAGAAAAATAATTTACAAAAAAAAAATTGTTGTTGTTTTTTTGTGATCAAAGAAAAGTCCTTATTTTTGATGGCGGCCATGATAACTCCTCACTGGAACATCGGAATCCGAAAATTCCAACGGTATTAGAAAGAGTACATGTCTGACTTCGCACATAAACTTTGATTTTTGTAATATCACCTATTTTTGTCCACAAACTAAGTTCAAAAATAAGGAAGATATTGACCAGATGGCTTCATCCTAGTTCATACGATAGCTATACACTCACAGAGAAACGTCCCAAAATTTGAAATCGATCGGATTATTAGTTTTTGAGTTATCGCGTCCGCCATTCGCAAAAACGCTGCTTGGAGAAAAATGCGTTTTAAGTTTTAGAATCCCTCTTGCCGTCACTTGATGCTAGCACAATAAGTCGGCTATATCTTCAAAAAGTGTTGAAATTTTCACATGAAAATTTATAGGAACATTCTTGAATTGGTGTACGTTCGGACACATTAAGGTGTCCTGTAAAAATTACATTTGTGCAAATTTACATGTTATTATAATATTGTTCATTCCTTATTGGAGTGGTACCAAAAAGGGAGTGTACCAATAAACTTCATAACCTTCATATTTTGACATGATGGTTAAAAACTTATAATGTGAAAATAAAATCGTATCCACTACATTATTAGCTAAATATTATATTTATAATTTATACTATTTTGAAATTTAGCTTTCAATGAATATTACGATTTGCAATGTTGAGGCGAAATTAATCGAGCCGCCAAGTGGACAGACTGACATTTATGAATTGACTTCAAATTGAATAAAATGGATTTGATACAAGGCGCTTGAAGTTTACAACGGATATATAGATGAAATCTTTATCGAATCAGCCTGTACATAGACTGATGTGTATATAGCAAATATCATTTAAAACCGGCTCATAACTCTATTTGATCCATTGCTAATGAAAAGCATTGTAATATAACATTAAAAAGAATTTGTTTCTAGTAGATCAATTACTCTCATGTCTATTATTGCTATATATTACAAATAAAATATAGATTTTTTATTTACATCGATAACAAGCATTTACATTTATAATAAACACATTTTGAAATTAAGTTCATTTATTGATTTTTGCGAGTGTTGTAATATGCAGTTCTTTGCGCAATTCATCGACATCTTGTTCCCAACGTTCCTCCCAGAAAACTGACATTAATGGTTTGGCTTCTTTGCCATTCTTAATGGCCCAGGGTAAGTATGTTGATGTGTAGAGTTTTCTTTGTCTGTAATGGAAAGGAAAATATTTTCAAACATATATCTAAACCCAAAAAATATTACGTACTTTGGTCTTAACCGCATAGCTCCAAAAACAGCACCGCCATAACACATTGGTAGACCTGTATTTAATGCTTCCACCCATTTAACAGCAACTTCGCCCAACATATTTGTTGGCATATCAAGTATGGCATGAACCAAATCGTGACATTCACGATATCTGGTCATAATGTAAGCTAATTCGGGATCGTCCATGAAACGAACCTCCATGCGAGAATCTGGAGTTACTTGCTATAGCAATAGAATGGTTATTTGACGTATTTTAAAAACAACATTTAATTGTTTGATACTTACATTGTCATCCAAAAACTGTACATATGACCTCCCAAATGTGTTTTGTGGTAACTGACGCAATTTCTCAAGATTAACTGTACGAGTGTTGATACGTGGCTTCTGTTGTAGTATGCGCTGACCTTCATCACTGGCTCTCATAGTATGCAAAATTTGTTGCAATGCATGTTCACCGGTAGTTTCGCCCAAGCTAGCAATCATATCATGCCTAATGCCAAAACAAACATAGATGAAATTATATTTCTGCATAATAGAGCGGGTATGAGTATGAATTTTGTTATTGCATATTTTCAATTAATTTGGTATCCAAAAACGGATGTAAAATTAAAAAAAAAATCTATTGTAAAAAGTATTAAAAAACTTCGCATTTTTGGTGCGATGATCATTGAAAAACAATTTTTTAAATGTAGATTTATGGAAAAACATTTTTTTTAAATGTAGTTTTATGGATGTAAGGACGGTGAATGTATTTGAAAAATATTTTTAAAAATCCTCGCATCTAAATATGTTTAGAAAAATATTGTTTTAAAAAGCCAACATCGTAAATGTTTTTGAAAAAATATATGTATATTTGTTAAAAAAGTCATATTTTTTTGTATTTGAATAAATGCTTTAAACCACACTTTTCAAAATAATTATAGATATGAATTTATCTATAACCATCATACAAACCTTCGTGGATCCACTAATGCTGCAATGGATGAACCAGCACCCAGAAATATTTTCTGAAATTTATTCATTTCGATGCGATTCTGTAAAAATTCTTTTGTAAACTCATCCAATTGTTGTTCAGATGCTCTGTCGTGTTCAACATTTTGTTCGGCATTGGCCAATGATGATGTAATTGTTCGAAAGAGTTTTGGATTCTTTGTCCGGAGATTTTTCAACAATGATGCGGTGTAGACTCGTTGAAACATGTTGACCGAAAATAAAAATAGTTACTGGAAATATATAAAAGTATTAATTAATTTTAGCAACGTTTAAATATTTGCCATAAAGACCATGGTATTATAAAAAGGATATAACAAAGCCAATAGCGGAGGAGAAAAATAATTTGTAAAGTTGTTATTTCTGAAAATCATTTTTAAATAAAACTGTTTTTAAATAAATAATTTAAACCGGAATGAAAATAAATCAATCTTCGAGACTTCTTATTTATAAATCCCCCAAGAGAGAAAGACTTGTATACCCTTAGGACATTTCAAAAAAAAAAAAAAAAAAAAAAACTAAGCATAACACAACCATCATTCCAATGACTGACCGACCATGTTGATGTTCCAAACATTGGGCAAAGAATTTCCTCTACATAGCTACGTAAGTGTCTATGTGCTGAAGTGCCAATACTTGTATTTCTTTGCAATGTATGTAGGTATGTCTGTATGGTATGACTATTGATTGAAACACCAATTAACTTATCTTAGCGGTAAAAAAAAAAACTATAAAAATAACTTCTACCTTGAAGGGGCATTGTTTTTATTTGTCTTCTAAGAATGTTCATTGTTGTTTTTTTTTTCTTTTTTTTAATTTGAATGATGAGCATTATGACGAAATACCCACCAATCAACCGGTTGTACTTATGGTTAAAATAAACAAAATTTCTGTACATATGTCAACACTTAATAAAGTTGGTATGTATATATAAATGACCTCAGTACTTTTGCACAAATTTTTAATAATTCGTCAAATTATATACATGAAGTGGAAGACCGGCAGGGTTATTATTAATAAAAGATATGGGGATTGATAGTCATGGAGGGACACCTTACCAGCTAAGGAGGAAGTGGAATTGGAAGTGGAATTGAAAGTGCGTTTGAAATTATCTTTGACTACTGTTGGAAAATTAACATCGAATTGGGGACAAAGAACGGCCTATGACAGGCAGTCTATTTATGCAACAATCCAATTGGAAACAGTAAGGAAAGAATAAAAAATGTATATAGGTGGGGCAAACTCAAAACTATACTATTTTGGTTGTAGGTGCAAAATTCCATGCCAAGCAGTCACATGAAGGGACTTGGGTTCACAATGAATGAAATATTTAATTAAACATCTAAGGGAAAAAACGTACAATATTCCCTTTAGCAACGATGTATTTACTTTTTTGACCACAACATCTAAACGGATACTGGGGCGTACACCAGATAAACACTGTTAGATAGGTCGCAATTTTATCACACGCTTTTTTCTCAGTTTAGTGGTCTATCAACCATATTTTGGACATTAACTCACCGTGATGTTTTTTTTGCTCTTCACTTTAAAGTTATTCTGATCCAGAACTAGCAGGGATTTTTTCTATTTTCACTTTCCACTTATTCTGAATTAGGTTTGAAAGTAAAAAAAATCCGCTATGGGGAAAAATAAGTTATTCTGGATTACAGGGAGTGGGAGAATGAGATGACATTTTGTGTGAAATTTTTCGTTAATAAAAAAATTAAATGTAGCTGACTACAAAAACATAAGTAATAAATATTTTTATGAAAAATATCTACACAATATTATTTCTATGACGATTTAGAATATTTGGTCTGTTCCCGTACTGCAAGAATCTACGAGTTTTTACTATTTTTTCCGATATCATAAAGGAAAAAAGTGTTATCGTAGTAAAAAATAGTAGATTCTTGCAGTACGGGAAAAGACCAATTATAAATGATTGTATGCACATTTTTAACTCGAAAACAACAAATAAAATGACATTGGAAATGCAATTCATAACGATGCATGCTCAACCAAATATTGCCACGGAATGTATAAAGGTAATAAGGAATATTTAAGTTGAGTTTGATGCATTTTGGAGGCGAAATACAGACATTTTGGGTGAGGACCTGTCTCTCAAGAAAAAATATTAATAATTATGGAAAAAACCAAATTTGCCTGATGAGCAGCTTAACAGTTAAAAACTCAAATAAAAATTATGAAAGAACAATGAAGAAAGAAATATAGGAGTAGGATCAAATCATAAAATAACTGGTCACTTAAAGAATTTGGGAAGATAAAATATCGAAATTAAGTAAAAAGGCACACAATTATGAAATGAAATAATAAACTGTGAATTAATTAATTCAATCGCAGATTTCTTCCCATTATTTGTTGTGTCTTTGACATCGTTCAATGCGTTCTTTTACATATTTGTTATCTGTTGTAGTTGTTGCAGCAAATTGCATCAAAACAATAAACAGATGTTTCACATGCCGTTGTATGTTGCCATATATCAAACCTTATTATTTTCAAAGTTTAAATAACAATAAAAAGTAAATTTTTTTTTAATACAAAAATTAATTTTGTTTTTGCAAAATAGTCAGGCTCTCGAGTTTTAACCATGGTTGTTATATCTATAATTTTTAGAGGCAGGGAACTTCAAAATATTTATAAATATAAATTATTTAGCAATTTTTGCCACTGAACACATGATATGCAAACATTTCGAAGGGAAATATTTTCATTTAAATTTTGAAAGTTGAATACTGTTAAAGGCAATTTTTTTGAAAAAATTGGAAACACATGACTGCATGTGACTCGGACGAGTTAGTCTCAATGTAGATTAGGCAAGTCTTTGTTTGCTGGAGAGAGGGGCCAGGGGAAATTGAAAAAAATTGCTCGTACCGACAATTTTCTGGCAATTCGTTTTGTGTATTTTGTTTGTAGTGTCAGTAATTTGAAATACCAATCAAGAATATTGTCGAAAAAGAAATATTTTTGAAACCGAATTCCCTTGTATAGACGCATGAAGTAAGTTCAAAATAGAACGATAATAATAGCCGCAAGTAAACACGCCAAATATAAATTAGGACTTAGCTTTGCTCTCATTTGTATAATTATGCCATGATCCGAACCATAATTCTAGACATAATTTGGTAGTTTATGAAACATTTCATATCGATTGGATACGTGTTTTCTTCCGATTTCATGCAAATGTTACACAAAATTATCTACGTCTTTCCAATTGATACTACCAAATTATGTCTACAATTATTCGTCCTATTTTACGATTGTCTGGTATAACGGCAGAGGCTCGAAAGTACAAAAGATCTGTGTAAATTCGAAAATGAGTAGAGGACTGATTTGCTCAGAAAAATATTCTTAATATAAAATTTTGGATTCAGATGGCTAGTTGTGGAAGGTGGCTCAGAGATACAGAGTCGTGATAATTCTCCCATTTTGAGTATGTGGCATCGAGATTTATATAAATTTATATAAAATCCGTTCAAGAAATTCCTAAAAAATTAAAAAACGAAAAACAAACACCTTAATCCACTGTGAAATATACATTCTTTAAATACGTTGATTTGGATTTTCCCGGAATTCCTCCTAGGTGTATAAGTCGTCGATTGTGTATGTCACCTTACGCCAACAGTTTCTTTGTTGGTGTGGTGAAGTACATAAAAAAATAAACAACAAATACATAAAATGGGGTTATTATTGTTTTACTGCTCTATTCAGTTAAGATTTGTTTGCTCTCATTGTTTTTAATTAAACAACAACAACAACAGTGATTTTATTTGGCCTAAAAAGACCAACGACTTGCTTTTTTTTCTTTCGTAAGGTGTGAATAGCGTATTTTGTGTATGGGTGAAAAATTAGCCGCAATAAGTTCTTATATATACAATTGTGTGTAGTGGCGAATAGTTTTTGAGTTGTATACCCAATGTTTCAAAACGATTTCAAATAGTGATTTTTTTAACAATTTAATGGAAAAAACAGAACAGAATTGGATTCAAATTTAATTAAAAAAACGTAATTCTACGATTCATCATATCATCAGACATAAGTGTATCATAGATTGAAGAATTGTATATATTCTACTTCAGAACGTAGTGCAACTACAACACTTAAATAGGCTTAAATTTATTGTAAAAAATAAAAAAATTAATACAATTAGAAGGAAAACTATGACATCAGATTCATTTCGAGAGTCACTTCAAAATAGTTATCTGAAATAACCTGCAATACTTTTATACCAATAAGGAACATTTTGAAAATACATATGGCTGTTCTATTAACAGTAAATAGAACGCTTAACAAATGTGACATTTAGAAATATGTTCTGTATAGAATAACAGAAAGTGTTGTCTACTAAAAATCATAAATATGGACTTTAAAAGCAATTAAAAATTTTACAAATATATATACGACCATATACTACTTCAAATCGGAAGAAAGTCCTGATTTATATTAGGCGAGTTTACTTGCGGCAATTTTTATCGTTCTCTTTTGAACTTGCTCCATGCGTCTACACAAGGCAATTCGGTTTCCAAAATATTTTTTTATTTGTTGTTTTTTCACATTTAAATATATATAAAATGTCAACAAATACGAAATACACAAAACGAATTGCCAGAAAATTGTCGGTACGAGCAATTTTTTTTCATTTCTATACCCCTTGCCCCTCTCTCCTACAAACAAAGTCTTGCCGCAAGTAAACTCGCCTAATCTAAATCAAGACAAAGTTTCAAATTAGCTTCGCACTCATTTGTCCGAGAGTATGAAAAATTTCCTTAATGTTTTTGTTTTTTTTATGTTATTATTCTTGTTGCTCCTATATGATATTTTGTAGATAAGAATGAATAACATAATAACTGCATTTTATAAATTAAACATTCCAAGCATCTAGATTTTAGATATACATACAGTAGAATCTCGATACAGCGATTTACACATTGCCAGCCCTCATCGTTAAATCGAAAATAACGTTATAGGAAAAATCAAGAGCAAAAATCAATATATAATAATATAATCAATATATAAAATATTTTTATTTATATTTTATACAGATATAAATTTCAGTTTTTTATTTCATTGCGAACAATATTTTTTATTAATTTTCTTTATGTGGAACTTCAAAGATTTGGCGTATAGCTTCATCTTGAAACGATCGATTCAATATTAAATTTTAATAGAATCCGAATGCTTTACTTTCGAGTATATTTCTTCCAGTTCATTATTTTGGGCACTTTCGTTATCAGTACCATGAATTTCATTGCCATATTTTGGGTAATCTTTTTACCCAACTTTAAAATAGTCTTTGTAGTCGCTAGGCAATGTAATAGAATTGATACATCGTTAAATCCGGAGTTCTACTGTACATACATGTGTTCTTTGCTCGCATATTTGTAATTCTTTGATAAAACTAAAAGTCTGTCTTCAATGTATTGAAACTTTCCAGGCATGAAGTGAACGAACATGTATTCATATTGTATATTTGTTATCAATATAGATGTTGAAAACATATATTTTTATAATTTTTAGAATAAAAAACAAAAATTAAAATAAAATTGAATTTCATATACATGTATGTACATATGTATATATACATGTGTTTCTTTTTTTTTTCTTTTTTGTTTTTTTTTTTTTTTTGCTAGCTTCAGTTGTTATGAATGTCAAAAATTACTATCAGCACTTGAAATAGAAAACTACTATTAATGTTATACAAAAATGTAATATTAGAATTATTTCCTTTCGTTGAAATTATCATGCTATATACATAAGTATACATAGATTGAATAAAATAGACTGAACTATACTTTAAATTATATTAATTAAAGTTTTGTGATGTAATATATATTTAATTTATCCGAAACATATAAAAGTTTCGGCATATTGTGTATAGACGATGTCGAATAATGCAAAGGTAAATTGTAAATTAATTTTAAAAGCTTGTTTTGGCAGATTTTTAATGTGACATTTTGATGCTGTGTATGATAATTATAAGTTTATTATTTATATTTAATTTCGATTTTCTATTCATTAGTGGATACAAGATCCTAATTGTCATATTAATTTTATGTAAGATGTAGCTGATGTGTTGTTTGAAAATTAACTTTTTGTCTAATAAAACTAAAAGATATTTAACTTTATCTTCCCAAGGTATTTGGGTATTTCCTATAAAAATATTGGATTGAGGAATGAAACATATTTTTCTTTTTCTTGTAAAGAGAATAGCCTACGTTTTCGATGCTTTAATCATAATTTTCCACCTCGTGAAATATTCTACAACAGTCTCTATTGTTGTGTTTAATGAATTTATAACATCTGACTGATAACCGGAGCATAAAATTGTTGTGTTATCTGCAAAAATGGATGATTCACAATCGGTTAATGTGGGGAAATCATAGGTGAATATATTATAAAGTATTGGCGAAAGACATGAACCCTGTGGACATCCTGCAGTGATATCGTACGACTGTTCTATCCGCCAAAAAACATGTTATAATTTTTATGATTGAAAAATCGGAATTAAGTAATAATAATTTATGAATAAGCCCATCATGGCACCCTGCAGTTGACTTTCCTATCAAAGTTGGTTTTTACATTTCTTATTTCTTATTCTGATAAGTTGTTGAATAGTATTGTGTTCGGATCGAAACCCAAATTGTTGTGAAGGTAAGATATCGCGATCTCCAAAAATTCAAGAATTTTTCAAATATTTTGCTCATCGTAATAAGCAAGCAATCAGTACAATTTCATTTGAAATATTCTTCCATTTAGCTTAGATCCGCTGCCAAAGTTCGTCTAAATTGGTACTGTCCCATCCGTCAGTTCACGATTATTCATACATTATGATTCGAATTGAGGTCGGGGCTTTGTGCTGGCCTCCCCTTTAATTGAAAATTTTGCTCACCAATATATTCTCTCACAATTTTGGAGGTATGTCTTGGATCACCGATCCAGTTCAAAAATGTCACAGCAAAAACCTGTTTATATAACTCTGCAAAGCACTCAATAGAATTCTTTCAAATTTTTCGGCAACGAAGCATATTTTGCTTTTGAAACTTATAAATTTATATTTCCCTTATTATTCGATTTGGATCCCGCATTACTTACAAGCGTTTTACGATCGCTTTTGTACCATTATGGCCTCTAATAGAAACCATTTAAGTCCTTTTGCAATTTCTAGGGTAGAATTGATTCTTTCACTCAAGTCCCATTGGTTATTAAACATTTCATTATGATTTATTATTAGTTATTTACTTGATTTTTGTTTAATGTTTTTACAAACATAGCTGAATCATGAGATTATGTGCCTAGGTAATTTTATCTTAAAAAAAGATAAATAATCTTTAAAAAGTTTTTATTTGGTATAATTCGGCTTAAGGTCGGTACAAATGTAATTTTTGATTTAAATCTCATTTAAATCAAGCAACAAGAGGTCAACAATATACAACAATTTTTAAACGCTTACAATTTCTTGGTCAGGACAAAAGGACTCTATCAAAATTTGTGGACTCTATAAAGTCATATCTCTATGCAAGTGTGCCTTTTGGTTAAAGCTATTTTGTTGTTTAAATTTTTTATTAGAACAATTTTATTATTGGAAACTTTTTTACCTGAAAACAATTGATAGTCCATTATTTCTTTCTTATCGATATTTATTTGGTCATTTCATAATATTTCCTAATTTGCATTACAAATTTTTACAGATGTTTTTGTTCGAATAATATTCGAATTTTTGTTATTATTCGAAATTATTCATTTTTTTTCGAAATTTCGTCTTAAAATGCTATTTTTACAAATGAGTGTAATTATATTGTAAATGGATATTAAACGTAAAGTGGTAATAACTATTGGCACATGAACAATATGACAAACAAGTAAATTTAATTTGTTAAACATAAACAAAATCGTTGATTCATCTGTTTTTCTCTACTCAATAACATACATACATTAAAAATTCATTTTCAGTACAGCCTACTATACACATAACATAATCATATATAATATAAATAATTATAATACAAACAGAAGAGGAAGATGATGGTGGTGATGATGATGAAGACATCATTAAAAGCAAAATTAATTTATAACTAATTCTAATCATGACGTACAATTGCCGCATTGGAGTTGACGTCTGTTGTGTGAGTTGTTAGAAGGGTAGGCACACAACAACAGCGGCAAGTCGGGAAAAATAGGTTTTGTATTCTTTTGCGATCACAGCCGCACATGATTGTGCGATACTCTAGTTTAACGTCTAGCAACAAAAACACGACAAATGGAAAAAACACCAGCAGACGGCAGGCAATGTACATACATACATATGTGTGTTCTCATTATTTTGTGGACCACCACTCACAACAAAAATGCCAACGGCTATTGCCTAGCCCTCACAACAATAGGGACAAGAAAGTTGTAGTGCGTCTCTAAACCGCTTCACCTTTTGTTGTTGTGGGCAATAGTAATTCCTTATCGGGTGACTGTTTCCGCCGGAACGTGACGTATGTATAGAGAAGACTAGCAAATACACTGATGTTGATACCGATGCAGTTGAGCCAAGAGAAAACATAATCGCCACCGATAAACATGCCCAAATATGTGACACATATGTTTTTGAGGCAGCCCACTATTGTCGTTGTCAAGGCCGAATTGTATTGCGTACACAAGATGGTGCTGTAGGATAGGATGAAGCCCATAAAACAGCTCATTAGGAACTGTATCACAAAGTAGGGATTATGCCACTGGCCAAAGGCAATGGATGCATCCCAATCGCCCGTTGCATAGGTTATCAGCATGGCGGGTAGAAACATGAACAGGGAATTGTAGAACATCAGTCCGTATTTCCCTATTTCCGAGGTATCCAATTTCTTTTTGACAAAAACGCCATTGGCCGCTGTCATGGCGTTTGTTATCATTACGTAGGTGTAACCTTGCATATTGAAGGACAGATCATCGGAGGCTGCCAACAGGGCACCGCCAATCATACCATAAACACTGACTTGGACCGCAGTGGATGGTCGTATGCCCAAAATCTTCAATTCCAGGAGCATAGTCATCAATATGGAAAATCTGCGTAGAGCTGCGAACATTGGTAGGCTCAGCGCCTGAGTACCACCCAAGCCGAACATCATGTTCCCCAGGAATATCAGCGGCAGTGGAAATATTTTTCTGAAAGTGTTGCGCTGCAGAGGGGCAAATGATACGATTTTGAGACGTTTCCCCAGACCAAGTACCACAATACTGGCAGCCAGCTGCCCCAAACTTAAAAATAGGAATGATGGGAATTTGTAGGAGGTCAATACGGTTTTGTTGACCACGGTTATCATAAAGGAGGCCATGCCATAGAATAAGGCACTGGCAATCTTCTTAAAATACAGTGTGACATCTTCCTTCTGTTGTCTAGCCTCTTTGGAATTTAAGCTGGATGTACTGCCTCCGATATTGTTGCTGCTATTGATGCTGCCCAGCTCTAACGTGGTCCGGTGGTTATCCATTGTGGAGTCACTGCGTCATACACAAATCGTTGTCGTCTCCCTCTCCCTGTTCTGTCCGGTGAAGGCGGCACGCACCCAGCTCTTTTGTTAACGTTAATTAACCCGTCCACTTGATTTGCGTTTCTTTTGGTTCGTTCGCTGGGTCTGCCACCCAAGTAAGCCGCTCCAATTGAATTGATGTTATTGTTACTGTGTGTGGTGCACTTGACTACGTAATAATACTTTTTTGCTCTCTTCTTTTTTTGTTTGGTTGTCAGCGAGCGTTTTTAGTTTATCATCGTTTTTTCATTGGCTTCAATCACTTCTGTGGCAAAGTTATTTTGAATTTTCTGTAACATCATTTATCAGTTTTTTCTCTATTCTTTTGATATTCTAGTATCTAATCGCTTATCATTTGTATGAACAACAAAAATATTTATTTCTCAATTAACAAAGTTTCCGGCTTTCGTACAAAATAATGTACATCGCGCACGTACACAACACAATTACGCGAGCACTAAAATGAAACGAAATGAACGCGAATGGGCCATCATTGTGACTGGGGAGGGAGATACTTTTGAGATTGATTGTGTGTTCTCTCTGTTGGCTCCTACATGTGTGAGCATTATGTCAGTTTTGTTTGTTTATGTTTTGCTAACCTAGTTTTGTTTTTGCATAACGCGTAAATTTAATTCACCTACCTTTTAATAATTCGTTATTGATTGTTGTCCAATGGAATTTAATTAATCGATTTAATTAATATTCAATTTTGTTGCAATAAATTTGCTAATGTTTAACAAAATTGAGTAAACTTTTGCCAGCTGTTTTAACAAACAGGGTTGTGTTCTTCTACTTGTCAAAGCAATGAAAAGTGAGCTGGCCACACATCAAAACCATACAGTACAATAATACAAATATTTGACGAAAAGTGTTAAACATTTCTTTGCATTAATCTGACCACAAAATATTTTCAATGTCAAACACAAATACAGCTGATTTTGGGCAAACAAAATTATTTGACAGCAAACAAAATTCTGCGTGATTTGCCCACAATGTGAGCGCCGACTAGCAAACATGTGCCTTATTTTTGGGGCAAACATAAGGAAATCAGCTGTTTGAATGAAACACATTGTTGGAAGAAAATATTTCAATTGCAAGTCAAAGAAAAGGATGAAAAGGCAACAATTACAAATTATTATTTCGTTTGTAGGTGTTTAATAAAAATAAATGATGTTGATTTAAGAAAAAGTAAAAGTGTTTTTTTGTTACTGTAATTTTAAATTATAAATATTAAAGAATTTTTATTATTATTATTATTTTTTAATATTAATTCATTGATTAAAGAAATACATTAAATTTATTTTCTTTTTGCAGAACCTGAATGAATCTTCTATTAATCGATATTTTATCTTTATATGTTTGAAAAATTCTACAACTTTCGATTTGTTTGACAATGAATTTTACAATATTTGTAAGAAGAAATCTATAATTTGTGAATTATATCCCCTTCTCGATTTTGAAAAGAAAACCTGACTTTCCATTCATTTTTCGCGTTTTTGGTAAAATTTTAAAAACGTAGCAAATGAACAGTACGACTTGTTGCATTTGTTTTCATTTTTTCTGACATTATTGCCCAGAAGGTAGAGGTGTATTTTCTCCTTCCTGACAAAAGCTAACCTACCTTGTATAATTGTACCATGGTTACAATTATCAAATTTCAAATGATACTACTTTCCATAACTATGATTGTATCGTAATACTCGTGTCAAGTTCGATATGAAATTCTTGATTTATGTAGAACTAACCAGCAGGAACATTTTGTACACATCATACTTGAAATAAAAATACTACAATACAATTTGAGCTTAAAAATATATAGAAAACAATAAAAATTTTGCTATATTCCGAAATATGCAGATTTTAGAACCATCAATTGACGTGAGAATTTCAATTATATTAATTTAAAAGAGCACTAAAGTAGTAATTACATATTTTCAATTCAAAGAAATCTCAACTGAAGGAAATTGGAGGAAAGATCTAGAAGCGATATACATATATCTTGAAAATAAATCGAATTTATTTGATTTTTTACATTTTTCGACATATCAAACTGACACTATTGTTACATACAATAACAATTTTCTTTGTGGTTGTTGAATTGTATATGTTGTAGTTTTTCAGTTACCTTGTATAATTGTACCATGTAAGACGGTATATATTTTTAAAATATTTCTACTTTGCAAAAATACATTTTTTATTAGACAATAATATAGTCTAGTCTAAACGCTCATTTATTAGTCATTCTCCTTTTCTAGCCTGTGGAACGTTTTTAGTTTCGATCGGTTCAGAAACGACGCAACTTTTCATTCCCTTGTTGTTGCAGCAAACTTACGGTTTCTTACTACGCTGGTAATATAAAGGAAATATAATATATTATATTTTACGATGGACAACTTTAATTTTGGGGGATCACAATTGTCACGCAATGAAATTTTCCAAATGCTTATTCGGGCTTCTATAGCCTCGGTGATTACGTTCTATTCGATCAAATGGATGATGAATCAAATAGATCCTACCAGCAAGAACAAGAAAAAAGCTAAACTAAAGGCAGAACAACAACTGAAGAGGTTATGTGAACAGGGCAATTTCGAAATTAACACTCAAAAATTCAATGATTATGAGCTAATGATTGCTTCGCACATTGTTGTCCCTGACGATATACCAGTCAGCTGGAGTGACATTGCAGGTTTGGATTCCGTAATTCAAGAGCTGCGGGAATCCGTTGTGTTGCCTGTACGGCACAGATATCTCTTCAGTCAGTCGAAATTGTGGCAAGCACCAAAAGGCGTTCTTCTGCATGGACCACCTGGTTGTGGCAAAACTCTAATTGCCAAAGCAACTGCAAAGGAAGCTGGTATGCGCTTTATAAATTTGGATGTTGCTATTCTAACCGACAAGTGGTATGGCGAGTCACAAAAACTTGCGTCTGCTGTCTTCTCGCTTGCTTTAAAAATTCAACCATGTATCATATTTATTGATGAGATTGACTCGTTTTTACGAAGCCGAAACTCCAATGATCACGAGGCGACCGCTATGATGAAGACACAATTTATGATGCTTTGGGATGGTCTAAACACCAACAGTAGTGCTACGGTAATTGTTATGGGAGCCACAAACCGACCACAAGATCTTGATAAGGCCATATTAAGGAGAATGCCAGCACAGTTCCACATTGGATTACCAAATATCGAACAAAGGTTACAGATATTGAAGCTAATACTGGAAACTGAAAATGTTAATCCAAATGTCGATTTCAATCGCCTTGCTGAAATTTCCAGTGGATTTTCTGGATCGGATCTTAGAGAAATGTGCCGTAATGCTTCGGTTTTCAGAATGAGGGAGTATATGAAGTCGAACGCTGATGAGTTTTCAAACATAACTGATGGATCGTGGGAACCAACTGAAGCATCATCGACATCATCATCAAATGTCAACTCTTCCATTGCAATAACAATGGATGACCTCATAAGATCATTTGATAAGATTCAAGAGTCTAAAGTACATACCGGACAGTTTGTTATGGAAAATCGAATTGATTTGGATTAATTGTATTGTATATAGATAGGTAGGTATGTATTTCAAGGGCAGAAATTTATATGTGTATGAGAATAATTGAATATGTAACGCCGCTTTTAAAATAGTTATAAAACACTGTTTCAGATGTTATTAGCATGTACACATTTAAGAAATAAAATAAAAAAGGGCACTTGCCCCACACCGTATGGCGAATGTCTAGTGGTGAACGAATATTTATGACTTGTGAAATAAAATATTTTCGATGATTAGAAAGGTAAGGCGGTAGAAAGCAGCAGATCAATTTTGTTGTTAAATGAAGTCTAACTACAGCAGCTTACTCAGATGATTACAGGAAGTATTGTTCAATGTGTTACATAAACCCCTTAAAGTGTATGACAATTTATCTATGTCATTACAAAATTGATAATCGAATGGTATTATTAGATCTACGACTTGACTTGGACCGGAACTGTCTAACGTGTTTTTGTCTGCATATACTCCGAAGGCAGATTTAATTGTGTATATTTTGTTAAAAAAAACGAAAACAAAGATATTCCCTACCGTTTTCCGATTAACTCTGAATAATCTACACATATTCTAAAATAAATTTTTGATTTTTGGCTTCTGTTCATTTGCTGCCAAGCAGTTAAATGATAAAAGTTCTTTGAAATTGAAAAAATAATTAAAATTAAAAAAACGCAACAGTTTATTTATATAGAAATATAAGCCCCCATCCCAAAGAAGTAACAGACGATTTTATGGAAAAATAAGTGCTTATACATATTTATTTATATTAATAGAAGAATGAAATTATTAAGAAACAAATATATATATGTATATATATAGGGGGAGGGGGCACCTTTTTTTTTCCTATTTAAGTAATTGGCCCGCCTCCCGATTATCGAGTATAATAGCGCCACCACAGATTATGTAGACTTTGTCTACGAGCCTTCAAAATACATTCAATTTTAACACTGCTTTCCTTGGTTAATTGACCAAATCGTTAGGATAATTCCAATGATAATGAAATCCTCAACCGTTTGGATTCCATTGAACGGCTCGAACTTTATAGGTTATCCGTATTCGAAAAAAACACGTGTTAGTTAAGCGAACGCTTAACAACCGCCATTTTGTAAAAATCTATTTTTAAGCCCGTGGGCGTATAATGCTTTTTTAAACTTTTTAGATCACGTCCTTCTTGTGAGCCGTCCGAAGACGAACTGAGGGGGCACCTTTGAACACTTTTTTCTTTAAAACCTCATAAAATTTTTAATGTTATAATTTTTGGTTTTAACTAATAGGTACATATGTAACCTTTAATATGAATATACATATGACATACTTTAAGCTTGATATACATATTTTATTACTGTTTTAATGGACGAAGTCAAAGTGTTCAAAACTGCCCCCAGGGGGCACCTTTGAACAAAGCTTGGTATTTTTGAACGGCATGTTTTTTACAGTGTTTATGTTCAAATATATATGTATTGTATTCATATATATCAGAAATACATTTATTTATTAAAAAATATATACAAAAATATTCGAAAATTTAAAAATTCTAATCAAAATTTATTAAAAAATAAAATTACTTAAAAACAAAAATTTTTATGGTGAAAAATATAGCTAATTTCGTAATCTTATTAGCCCATTTGAAATTTTTGAGAAATCGAAGCCAAAAGTTAAAAACTCCGTTTTTTACTGGAGATTACTGGGTATGTTCAAAGGTGCCCCACCTGTGGTATTTTACGGAAATTTATAACAACATTTTTTGTAGTAAATATATTTTTATTTATTTTATTTATATATTTCATATTGCCCAGTCTTTCGACCTTAAGGCTGTAAGCTACATTTCACAAATAAATATAAATTATATCATATTAAGCGGCTTAAATGTAAAAGGGAGGGATATTGAACTACTAAAGAATATTATATCGATTAAATTACAAAAAAAGTTTTTGATTATTATTATAGGTTATGATCATGGTATAATAATAGAAGGTAACAGCAAGTGTTGTTGTACAAAAAACGATACAACAACCACATGGAATTTTGTTGTTGTAAGTTCTACTAGTGTCAACTCATTTGACAGAAAAATGTAAACAAACAAATTATCATCAAATTATTTTTATTTTGAAAATGAAATATTTTCGAATCCTCAAAATAAAAATTGAAAAACATGAATGAAAATCTTTCAAATTTATGTTTCTATCGCTTCCACATATTTCCTATAATTGAGCCATTGCCATATATATGTGTAACACATATGAAAATGCTGGGAATACCGATTTATTCCTTGAAGAAAGATTTGCTTCCTCAAACTTTCCCAGCAGGCAGATTGAGTAAATTGTATACAGGAGCACATTTAATAAAGAACAATTTCAAATTGTATGCGTTCCCAATTTTCCTGTTGGGTGATTTTTAAAAACATAATTTGTCAAATTATTGACACTAGTATTACGTTGGAATCAAATCAGCTGGGATTTGCTGTTACCTTTTATAATTGTACCATGGGTTATGATTTAAAAATTTGATTAATTGGATTATCCAGTAGGAATGGAATGGAAAATTATTATATATAAAAATGAGTTGTATTTTTATCTAAATAAATTGTATCACAAATATAAAAAATTAAACATACATACATATATTTGAAATGTTTGTTGGAATGCAAAAAAATTGTTTATCGAAAGAAAACTATCACTGAATTCTTCCTGCGCCCTTAGAACCATAAAATTAAAAGTTTACAATTGCAGTGCGAAAACATAGTCACTCATTGTAATGTTGTCGACAACTGACAAAGCTGGCCAAAATGGTTTACGCAGATAAAGAACAAGATTGGCACATAAAAAAATTTGATTGCTGGTCGAAAAATTTTAAACCGAGATTTTATGGGCGCTGTTCAAAGGTGCCCCACGTTCAAAGGTGAGGGGGGCACCTATATATTATGCATACAAACATTTGTTCAAAAATTTTATAGAAAAATAAGTGTTTATACATACTTATTTATATTAATAGAATAATAAAATTATTAAGAAACAAATATATATATATATATATACATATATATACAAACATTTTTTTCGAAAATGTGTATATTTTTTTAAAATTCGATTGCCAAATTTTGTTATACAATTTTCGAATAAAATGTTCGAAAGTATTCTGAGTTTTTTTCGATTTTCTGATCAAATACCCGATATTTTTCGGAATTTTTGATCAAACATTCGACAAATTTCCGAAAATCGAATTAATAATTCCGCTTAACCTAAAATACGATAATTTTTTCGAATTTTAGATTAAGCGGACGATGTATTTTATAACTTCTAAAAAAGTGTCCGAAAAATTCCTATTACCTGTCAATTTTTGAATGTCCCTCATTCCCTTACAATATCCCCTGTTTCACTCTATGTTCCTTCGTATTTTTCTCCGACAAAATTATCCGAATTCGTGGGCACCTTCACACAATTGTCTTCCGATTCCGGTACAAATTTGGCGTCAGAATATGAAGCTTGTGCAGAGTATCGTTCCAAATTAGGAAAAAACTGTTAGCTGGGTGATTATTAAATAAATAATAATAAATATTAAATTAATTGTTTACTAATGTTTTTGGAAACTATACTAACAAGTATGTTGCCTTGGTGGTGGTCGTAATATTGCTGGTTTAAATAAAAAATTCTACGAACTTTCAAGCACATATTTCAGGAAGTATGGACTTTCCCACATAAATTGTGTTTCGCTGTAATCTGCACAACAAGGACTATATGCCTTAAAATTATAGGCTTACATATTGTTTTTAAGAATTTTTAAAGGGTCATTACCTAATTTTTGGAGGGAAGTATGGACTTCTATGATAAGAATATTACATTTTTGTGATAAGAACTACAAAGATATTAAAATGATAAACATGTTCCCTTAATTCCCATATCTCCAGAAATACAGATTTACATTGCAATGAGGGATCCAAGGTCTAAAGACTGGATGTATGTAGTTCCGATTTAGCTGATTGACATTCCTCCGGGTTTTACACTATTGGTTTTTGGTATTGGTCATGAGAGTTTTTTCTCTCTCTCTCATTATTAAATTGGGAATAGAGTTGGAAAATATTGCGCCAGGTAGGAACAAAAAAGTACGAAAAGCAGTTCGTCTTCGGACGGCTCACAAGAAGGACGTGATCTAAAAAGTTTAAGAAAGCATTATACGCCCACGGGCTTAAAAATAGATTTTTTACAAAATGGCGGTTGTTAAGCGTTCGCTTAACTAACACGTTTTTTTCGAATACGGATAACCTATAAAGTCCGAGTAGTTCAATGGAATCCGAACGGTTGAGGATTTCATTATCATTGGAATTATCCTAACGATTTGGTCATTTCACCAATGAAATCAGTGTTTAAATTAAATGTATTTTGAAGGCTCGTAGACAAAGTCTACATAATCTGTGGTGGCGCTATTAATACTCGATAATCAGGAGGCGGGCCAATAACTTAAATAGGAAAAAAAGTACGAAAAGGTACCTAAAATTTGTCATCAAATGATAATAAATCATAATTATCCAGAAATGTTAGGAAATATTAATACCGCTTTATATAGTACGCTTGTTACAAAATTAAAAATAGCGCAACTCTAATTACTCTCAATTTACCAGAGAGAGAGAGAGAGAGAAAACAAACGCCCATGACCAATGCCCATAACCAACAGTGTAAAACCCCACAACGCGATATCTCGGCGTTATGCTTTACACTCATACGTAAACATTACGGGCCTTCATCCATTTCGTTTTATCAGTCATTCTCTGCTAACTCCCTCTATTCGTAGCGTGTGGAACGTTTTTAAATTTTGTTGGTTCATTAGGTTAACGACTTCACTGAACGCTTTGTTGGATTGATTTGGTTGGAATTAATAGAGATTATTAAGGTAAATATTTAAATAACAATTGATTATTTACTTAATTTTCACTTTGTGTTGTTTGAGACGGACATAATCAATGAACCGAAGGAAACTTAATATTAGGGAAAATGTGGGGACGTCTTCATATGGAGTCAATTGTTCCACTTCTGGTGGTATCTTCCCAAACAATAAGCGAATGTAGTAAATGGTATGTCGTTGGAATGATGGTTACCAATACGTTGTTCCATAGCTTCTGTATGCCTTCGTTTTGAACCTGTGTACTATAATCTTTGCCACGACCATTGTGGAGTTGTTCGCCAACACCTTTATTCACTGTAGTCGCTAATTTCCAAGCTTATATTCATACACCGAGATGTTGTTCCCTGCGGCTTAATATAGTGAATTGTTCTGTTAATTGGTACTTGATCAATTATTAAATACATTTCAAAACTCTTGCTGGGAGCAGTATTCTCCACACATGACCACCTCTGACGTTCTTTATAAAAATGATTACGGTGCATGATATGCAAGAATATTCCAATCTTTGGAATCTAGTTAACATTAATTATTTTATATTTCCAGTTTCTGGAACAGCCAAAAGTTTAAAACTTAAATACTAAACAAAATCCAAACAAGTAAAAACATGCATAAAACCAAAAAGAAAACTGCAAAATTACCCAAACCAATCAAAATCAAAAAAGAGAAGAACGATGAAGATCGAATGCCCCAATCAATGGTACACTATATCGATGATCGATTGGAATTGGTTAAACAAATCTTTGGATCGCTTAAACCTAAAACTATTATGAATTTGGCACCGGAATTTTTAAAGGTATGTTTTTTTTATATTGGCTACCAAGGAAGATTACATTTGTTTCTATTTTTTATTTATTTATTGTAGACCCAAAGTTTGGAAGAAATTGAAGAGGCATGCCTAAATGAGTTGTTGTGCATATCAACAAAACGTTTAAAATCTATAATACAAGCTACTAAGTGTCCCACAGACACCGAATCGTCTGAGGATGATGATGTGCAACATAAGGAAGGTGAGTATTTGAATATGTTGACGTTGGATGAGTTGATATTTTATGGAAATGATTTTTTTGTATAATTTCAGAACATGTTTCCCTGGAAGAAATATCATCGGATAGTGAAATTGAAGGCGGTACATCGAAGAAGAGTAAGTTTTATTATTTAAATTTTTTGTTCATTGTAGAAGATCAACTTTTTGAACTGCCTAATTTTGAGTGTTCAAAGAATTATACAAAATCTAAAATATTTTTTTTTCAAATTTGTAAGGCAGTGATAATATTCTTTATACTTAAATGTAAACCCATGGTGTACTCAGACATTATTTTCTCCAGATCTGGTCCTAGTGAATTGTTATTTTCCTAAAAAGAATATAACGGTTCATCAAATAATGAAATGATCACCGACAATTGTTTTACACATTTGTTATTTTTACATCATTTGTTTACAAATTATGAATTTTACAATTATATCATTAACATATTAATTTCTCACCCACACTCTTTGGAGGAACATAATAGGCACGAACAATTACAACGTCTTCATCAACACCTAATTGAATGGAATCTTCACCGCCATATTTATCCATATCTATTGTTATTATAAAATCACCCACTTCAATGCTTCCGTTGTTTCGGGCATATTCAATACCATAATCAATGGGTTTATATTCACAAACATTCATGGCCTTACTATAAATGATTGTGCGTATATTTCGCTTTAAATTTAACATTTTCAACAATTCTCTCTCATCTTTATTTAGGCTATCATCATCATCTTCAATGGGAATTACCACAAACACCGGACAATATATTTCAAGACACCCCAAGGCGGCTGCCGTCTTTTGACATTTTGTATGCAAAAATATGGCTTGACATTCGATTGTGCTAATAGTTCGTATAACAAAATTCATTGCTGATTGATATGAAGACATTGTGTCTCGTAGTGGTGTTGCCGATTGCATTACTCCTCTTCGATATTCCTTGATGGGTAATAGTTTTTTAACTATCAGTGGATATTTATTACACCATTCACTTTTCTCTATAGCAATACAATCGGTTTTCAAAAGGAAATCATGATTTTCGAAAACACGAAAATCACTGCATCGTTTCAGGGGCACTGTTCCAATTAAGGGTTTTTTCCAACACTTGGCCATGGGTATAACATCTTGACAAATATATGTATGAAGTTCTGGGGTGATATTAAACAAATTATTTAACCATATGAAATCCAATAACTTTATAATTGCCAAAATATCCAACATTTTACGACTGACATATTCCAAATCAATAATGCCAATTATTCGAAAATCAAAATTATCTTTGATGTGATAACGTAAAATTTTCAAAATACTTTTGCAGCGTATTTGGGGTATTACTACATAATCAGCTTTTAATCTGGCGGCCAATTGAAGATCCTGGGAGAATACATTTGTTGCTTTTTGTAAGTTCAATAATTTGCACTGTTGTGGAAGTTCTAGATAATCATAAGAATTGATAATACCAGCATTGTCTATCAATATGGAAATGGAATTTTTCAATATTTTGCCAATACGGCCCATTACTTCGTTACCAATTTTTATATCATCATTTAATTTCAAACTTGGCAAATAATGTTGTAGATTTAGGCAGTGGCAAATTTCTTTAAAGCCACAATATTTATAGGAATTGTCACATGTAAGGGTTAGGGTGCAGCCAATTTCCACAAATATCGAACAGTTGTTACGTAGACGACCAATTCGGCAACAATCTCCACTAATTTCAATGGCTAAGCCCACCACCAAAATATTATTGGCATCTTGTGTTTGCACCTCTTCAACTGTGGTGTTTATTAAATTTGCCATACTTTCAATATCTTCGACACGATTTTGAACAGCATCCAACAAAAACGTTCTTGTACCATTTTGTATTAGATTTTTTATTTCATCCGCTGTTGTATTGCAGGCAATTTTTGCCATAAGAGCCAAATTGTAATAACGACGTTTACATCGTTTCCGATAATGTTTATCATAGCTACTGCAAGTTTTCTTAAACTCCTGCAATTGTTCCTCCAAATCGCCTTGTCCATTGACGGGGACGGTGAATTTACTATGCTCCTCTGCAATAGATTCCATATTATTTTCAATCACTAAATTTGTAATGCAATTTTTTGTGTATTTTTGATATTTCTTTTAGGTAAAAAGAAAAAACTATCCAAGCCGGATGATAAAAATAAACCAGGAACTAAAACTGATACACAAAAACCAACAGAAAACAATGAAGGTAATTTATACAAACAAAATACATTTATTTTTTGTTAAAAGGAATTCTGAAAAAAAAAAATGATTTCAAAACAAAGTAGGGGCACTTTGATGTACATGTTACATATATTTGTAATTCTTATTATGAAAACTAGGTGGAATCAGTTGGCCAATTTGCCTCCATAGACAATTTTCTGCCAAGAATTTTTTATTAATTTTTTCTCTTTCAGAGGAAGGTCAAATTAGCGTCTTGGAGCTACTCGAATTACAGGCCCGTGCGAGGGCTATACGTTCTCAACTGGCCCTGGAACCTGTTACAAAAATTGAAGTAGATTCCGATGGTGATGATGAGCGCGAACGTGAAGAACAAAGTTCATCGAAAAAGAATAAAAAGTCTCACAAAAGTGATAAAAATGAACGGAAGCGTACCTCCAGCACAAGAGAATCACAAGATTCCTCGAATAATATTTCCAGAACATCCGACAAAGAAACTGAAGCACGCAAAACTAAAAAAGTGAAACTAAAGCGTAACTATAGAAATTCTTCAAATCTTTCGGCAGAAAATGATGTTGGCGAAAAGGCAAGTAACAAAGAAAGAACGTCAAGTGAAACGGGAAATCACAAGAATGACAATTCAAACGAAACACGTAATCAAGAGAAGCAATCCTCGACATCTCAACAAGATGATAATATTGAAAAAATTAAAAAAGAAAAATCCAGTCGTTCACCATCACCGGATGTTATACCCATTGTTGCCGAACCTGAAACGTTATTAATTGATGATTCAACCGATGATGAGAAGGAAAAGGATGGCAAAGATAAGCAATCGCATGAAAATACATCTCAAAGTGAAACTCAATTACCGCCAAAGGATGGTGCGAAAGATCGCAAAATATCCGAAATGGAAGATGGTGAAGTTAAGGAACATGATGATAATGATGGCAGGGCTAAAACATCCACAGAGCAATCGGAAAAAGCCAGCGAATCAAATAATGCCACAGAAGTCGTCCTTGCAAATGATAATGATAAAACTAAAAACCTCGCACCAAACAATGACACCACAATGACGCAATCAGATTCGAACACTGAACCCCCTCAAAAACCTACAAATGTTACATCACCCACTGAAGAGGAATACGAGGATCATAATGATGATGTTATATCACTGGGCGAAGATTTGGAGGATGAAATGGACGAACAATTGGAAAATATAACAAAAGCTGATAATATTGAGAAAGATGCCGCCGAGGAGACATCTTCGAAATCTAAAAAGAAAAAATATGGTGAAGAAGAAAATCAGGTGGGTACTATTTCCTCATTGTTTGTATTCTCTTTAATTTACATTTTATACCATTTCAGTCATGGCATGAACGTTATATGAAAAGCTCCAAGGTGAGCAAAGTTTTGGCCGCATCACGTCTGGGCAAGAAGGTACGAGACAAAATTAAAAAATCCAAAGAAGCTCCACGTGAATCTAGCGACAAGACTGATGAAAAAGAAGAGGTCTTTACATCTAAACATGAGGAAGGCTCGCTGGAACAATATAAGGAATTGTTAGAGTTACGTCAACGCAAGTCCAAATGAATTTGCGAAAATAATTTAAACAATGCATTTGAATAAGAAAGATTAATTAAATAAATATGTATATGTAGTTTTTAAATTATTTTATCTACATTAAGTTTATAATGTATATTTAAATAAATAAATCCATTTACGTCAATCCTTCAAACACACAAAATGTAAAGCAATTTAGAAGCTTGTCATTCCGCCCCAGGGTAATTAATATATCATAATGCTGCGTATATTTAATAGATGAATTTAAAACAACCAATCAAATTGAAATGTTGTTAAATCGAATAGAATCACATTCAAAGTGTTATAGTAAGAGCAATGATTATGTTGAATTTTATTGTGCTCGGAATATGTGTACTTGTTTCTGTTATGGAATTTGGTAAGACTTAGTTTGGTAACCGACATTTAAAAAAATAATTCTATTACCTTTCGAAAACTAAAATTATATCCAAATATTCTTTAAGACCCTGCGTTCAATAAATTCCATGCCTATTTCTCTGATGGTTCTAGGAAAATATTTTTTAAATAATGGTTGAAGAAAAAGGTTAATGAAATTTGAATATATTAAAAACGCAATTAAAAAATAAAAGAAAATTTATGCTTTGATAGTCCTTTAAAACATACAAATTGTAAATAGGTTGACTGAACTGTTGAAATATGTTTAAAACTACTTTTTACTGCGGTAGTTCTTCAAAACATCTACGCTTGTATTCATATTACATTTTATAATAACGCAATGTTTAATTTTCAGTTTTTACATCAAGTTCCAGTTGTCCTGGAAAATATTACATCCCCTTCGATGATAAAAATACGGACTTTTTAATTCGATCATTTAACGAAATGGAGCTAAATAACTTCGTCACATATCCAATTGACGGCACAGTGGAAAATAATGGTCAAAGGATTATTATTAGATATAGATACAAGGAGAATGAGATTCCCACTATTTCGGATGGTCCCCTGGGCAATGAAACATATCGTTTGGAATTTATGTATCTTCATTGGTTAAACAAAAGTTTGGCAGATTATATCTATGATCCAGAGCTGTTGGGAGACAAAGGTATTCATGTCCAAGTTGAGCTACACTTGGTCTTTGTACACGTCAATTGTAGAGGAAATGTAGAATTGGCTACGAGAACAAATTTTGGCATCACCATTATGGTTTTTAGGCATGAGGTAGGTGGTATTATGTCAAGTGTTTATTTATTATGTCAAATAATACAAATACATGTGTATATATTTTTTATTTTATTTACAAGTATGATTTGGATCCCAAGATGGACACTCCAATTTACAGGGTTATGTCAAATATAGTCAAGCCGAAGAAAACGTGGACTTGGAAGCCGGGTTCTCTAATATCCGATATTGCACCTATATCACATAACTTTATTGTTTATAAAGGAAAGAGTGTTTTGACGAAGGCGGACGTTTGCAGCGGTGACGTCATTTGGATTGAGACGGATTATCACGTTTACGTATATCCCAAAACAGTAAGAAATCGTTATGGTTTCGAATTAAAACAATTATAAAATTTGAAAAAAATGTTCGTTTTAGATTAAAACGTTCCGTGAAATGATGTCAGCCGATGGTAAACCGTACATAGATATAGCCACGAACAATAAAAGACAGCCGGATTCGAATATTTATAAAACAGCCTCATTGATGGTCGAAGACGAATTTGAAACATTTGAAGGATTTCCAATCGATGTAAAGTTGTCTGAAGGTATTCTGAATTTGAAAATGTGCAAGTGGTTATATGTTATTCAAATAATTTTCATGTTAGCATTCAAATGAAATAGTAAGAAAAATATCAAATTCAGCCGGTGTTGATTATGTTATTGATACCCTGCACTGTCAGATAATAAAATGAAAATTATTAAATGAAATTAGTATCATAAATTCATTGCTGAAGATGTGTACACATATTGTGTTTCAAAAAAAAATATATATATGTATATTATTAAAAAATCCAAGCATATAGCTCTGATGGTTCTATAAAAAAAAATATGCGTAAAAATCCACGCTTGTGGCTCTGATGGTCATTAATCCGAACAGTGCTGTAATTATTTTTTTCGAATTGTGGGACGCAACTTTCAGCGTCTCTAGATTGTGGGCCACTGAATTCAAAAATTTGATTTGTATCCTTTTTTTTTCTTATCAGGATAATCGACAGGATCAATTTTTGGGCTGTGGCCGTATGTTCACACTAGCACTGCTCGGGTACAGGTTTTTTAGATGATTTATTGGTCGTATTATGACTGTGACAATATGGTTACGCTAGCACAACTCGGGTTAACAATATTCTTAAAAAAACAACGCCTATAGCTTTGATGGAGCTTGAAAAAAATATTATTTAAAAAATCAAAGCTTATAGCTTAGAGGGCGCGGGAAAATATCATTAAAAAACCTGCTTATAGCTTTAATGGTTTTTAAGAAATTCACGTTCTGATTATGTTTAAACAAATATTTTTAAAAATCCACGCTTATATCTCCGATGGAGCTTGACATAATATTGATAAAAAAATCAAGTTTATAGTTTTGATTTATTAAAAATCCACGTTTAATATTATTAAAAAATCACGCTTATTGATCGAATAGTTCTTAACAAAATATTATTTGAGAAATCTACAATTATCGCTCGAATATTCCCCGAAAAAAAATAATATATTTAAAAAATCACGTTAATTGTCCGGTTTGGAAGTAATTAAAAAACTTAATCTTAAAAAAAATATCCAAGCTTATTCTTCGGATACTCCTTTGGATACTTCCTTATCTTATGACTTATATTTGTGACTCAGACAGTGCTTTAAAAAAGATTCCTTTGAATATCTTCGCTGTTTGCTCTAATTTATTAATTATTTATTTTTCTTCCCATCAAGAGGCACATCATCGGCTTTCAAAACTTGAGAAAAATCACAAACTTTTCTCTTTTTATCTATAAACTGTCCAAAGAATGCAACAATCCTTTCGGTAGCATATACGGGGAGGGTACTGTAATAAACAAAAGTAAAACAAAAAAACACAAAACATATTTTGGAAAAAATAAAATAAAAATCAGTATAAACATACCCCATTATACGAGGAATCCAAATTAAACAGCGTGGTACGGTCAGTTCATCATCACCTCTCAGCATTGCCTCGATGACATACTGGGCCACAATATCTCCATCCAAATTTAACATCAAACCATCTACTTTTAGCATTTTCAATAAACTATTGACACGTTCATTGGTGGTCAGGAAAGAGGGGCAAACGGCAGTGGCTTTTACAGCGCTTTTCGATTCCATTAATTGAATTCGCAGCGAAGCGGTAAGGTGACGCAGGGCAGCCTTTGATGCTCCATAAACATTGAAAAGATGATGTGGAAACATGGCCGACAGTGAGGAGATATTGACAATATGACCACGATTGAGTTCTTTCATTTTGGGTAGAAATAGTTGAGTGGTCTGAATGGGGAGAAAAATATATATATGTACATATGTATATTAAATATGTCTGGATTTGGGTTACCAAAATTCGTGCTTACCAAAATCGGTGCCTTAAAATTGACATCAATCATCCGTTGTATTTCGTGGACGGGTGGTTCTTCTATTGAAGATAGTGTTAAAATTCCGGCATTGTTAACTAGGATTGTAACATCACCCAAGTCATTTGTGATCCGTTCCTTTAAAAGCAAGAGCTGCTCATAATCGCTGATATCAACCTGTACCGATAGGGAAAGAGAGAGAGAGAGAGTGACACACACGATTATGTCATAGTCATTGCAAAAATATTATTTAAAAATTTACGCTTATTGTTGGGACATGGCTTGAAGAGATATTCTTAAAAAGTTTACGTTTTTCGGATAGTCCCTGAAGATTTGTCTTTCTAAATATTTGCAAACATACCTTATAAGCCTTCGTTTTAACTGGATACTTTTCGGCAATATATTTTGCTGTTTCCTTCGCCAAATTTTCCTGTATATCCACAATGGCTACGTGGCAGCCAAGTTTGGCCAATGCCAGGGCTATGTCACGACCCAAACCACGACCAGATCCAGTGATCTAAAAACAGCCAATTCAAATTACATTATCTTATTTTTATTCAAAATTGAATTAAAAAAAAATATGTATATTCTCACCAAAGCCACTTGACCCGAAAAAGAGGTTGCCTTGTCGCAGTTCTTGTTTTTAAACCATTTCCATAATTTATTCACTGCGACAATGAAAATTTGCCATGGATAACCGAATATTTGTATTAGCACATAAATGCTATAAAACAATTCGATTAAAATGATGCGTTTATCCATTCCGCTGGAAGGTCGTTGCAAACTGAAGTCAACTTTCGATTTTAAAATTGTTTCACTGAGTCCATTTTAAATGGCCTGGGTGTTCGGAAGTTCAATATGTTTGTTGATAAGCGTTTAATTTAATGTTGCTACAACAATATAGAAATTCTTAGATTAGACATTACCGGCTGCATTCCCATATGATAATGACGGTCTGACTGATAATCAACACCCAAAAATATAAAAAATCATGAACATTTTCACGATGTTCTCTTATCATTAGTTATCACTAAATGATACTAAAGAAGTCCGTTAAGTTCGGCCATGTCGAACTTTTTATACCCTCCACCATGAGATCGATATTGAAAATATATAAAATCGATTGGAACTTTTCATATGGTAAATTGGTGACAGGAAAAAACAAAATACCCAAACAACAGACATTGGAAAATTCGATTGGATTGTCGTTGGAAACATTTTATTTTAAAAATAACGGTTATGCATGATTTTAGCTCGGATAGTTTTTGAAAAAAAAAAGAAACAGTTTAAAAATCACCGCTAACTGTGCAGAACGTCATTGAAAATATTGTATTAAAAAATCCACGATTTTTGTTCGGATAACCCTAAAAAATTATTGAAAAATATAAATATAAACAAGTGGAAAAGCGTTAAGTTCGGCCGGGCCGAAATTTGGATACCCTCCACCATAGATATACTGACAGGTACTTGAAATGAAAATATAGGG